ACATTCACTACATTCATAAAATTTCTCTCTGTTATGGTTCTTATGATACCGAGCAACGTCTGACTGATGATTTAAAGATTTATCATGTTCTTGATACTTAGAACATCCCTTCCCTGAGGCAATTTCCATACCTTTAATTAGGTTTGGATATTTTCTGAAGTGCACACCATTTGCATCACATTCGTGATGACTCCGTTCCAAAGAAGCTCTCTGCCGAAGAAACAGCACCGAGCCCCGACCCGAGTCTCTCCCAAACATTTGATGTTCCCAGCCTCTCCCTTTGTTGGGAGTTTTCTTGGATGCAACTGCTAATTGTCTAGAAGGAATCCTTCGGCTCCCCTGCTTCTTCTCTAATTTGAAGTCCCAGGGCCTGTCGCTCTTGAGTCTCTCCCGGGACGATTCTTCCATAGAAATACCCAGCTTTGAAGGAGACTCTGCAGCTTCAGGCCTAGTCTCCCAATCTGAAGGAAATAAAAAATATAAATATATGTTCTTCCCTCTTCTGGGACCAAGAACACTGATTTACATCGAGCCTCAGCGTCTATCTCCTCAAGGAGAATCTTCCAACTTGAAAGGGCAGAATTAGCAACAGTAAAATACCATTCCTTCATATTCACAGGTGATTTATGTTACAGAGAGCTGTCACACAAATTATGGCTTTGGATCCTACCACACGCCTGTGGTAAAGGAAACGTAGAAGCATGATTCCATTGTACAGATGAGGAAACTCAGTTGGAAAACACTTAAGCAACATCACTAGAGTCCCACTGTTGAGGAAGGCTGAGCTGGGGCTAGAATTCGAATCTCGCGGCTGCTGATCCAGCGCTCTTTCCTCGAGACAATGCACGTCACGGAGAGGGAAGTGAAGCCCAAGGAGTATCTCATCAACCTGAATGAATCCAAGCATCCAGGCCCCAAACAATGAAATCCCAAGGGACTCAAAAGACACCAAGGTACGATAAGAGGAAACAGTTACTAGTCCCTCAGGAAACTGGGCACACAAGCAAGGTACAAAGGACCGAAAGCCAGGCTGGACAAGACAGCAGCTACCAAGATCACCCCCAAACACGTCCTGCTTGTGCCTGAGAAAGAAAACATTAACAGCAATCCTGTCCTGCAGACACGTAGAAGAAGCCCGTGCTTGCATATCTCAGTGGTTCCCCAAGGCCTTCGTGTTAGAGCACAGACACCACTGATGTTTCGAGACTTTCCCCGCCGGTCTCTGGCCAATCTTCCCAGTCTTATTAAACTTTTCTCCCTCTTCCACCCTTGTGCCCTCCACGGTCCAGCCAAACAACTGCCTCCTTGCCGTTCCGTGGGCATGGCGTCCCACCCCTTATCTCCCTGCAGGGAACAGAATTGGAATCCTCCACTCCCTACAGGCTATCCTTTCCTCGGGGGCCACATGATATAAAAGGCCCTTTCTGACCGTCCCATCCAGCGGTTAGTACTGTCCCTTTCCACCCCATTAGTCTGCATTTACTTGTTAGGGTCCATATAGTTCCCATACACCACCTACTTTCAGGCAGAATGTGAGGAGGTCCTTGAAAGCCAGGGAGACACTAGCAGAGTGCCTGGCACAAGGTGAGCGTTTGACAAATACTTAGAGCATGGAAGAATGCATCCAAGACAATGACAAAAAATGACAATTTTCACTAAACTCTTACTATGTCCATGTATGACTCTGGCGGAAGGAGCTCTCAGAGGCCAAAGGCACAGAGCCCACCATTAGAGAGGCCCCAGTTCTCACTCTCTCTGGCCAATGCCAGACCCGACCGACCGCCTCTTGAACGCAGTGCCCAGCACCACATCAGAAGGCCCTGACACCCTCCTTGAGAGAATTAGACTCAGATAATGGCACAGCCAAGGGTCTGAAGATGAGGCCCCCAAGGGATGAATGGCTGAAAACTCAGGGGGGGACTGAGCCCAGAAAGGAGAAGAAAGAATACCTCTCAACATCTGAAAGACATCAGACAGAATAATAAAGACAGGAGGCCCCTACTTGGGGGGTGCCCTCTGGCTGACAAAGGACTTTCACATAGAATACCCAGAGTGCTGCTAGTGCGTGCTGACCTCCACAGAGAGCTCCACGGTTTGGCCGGGGCTTGACCTGACTTCCCACTGCCGGGGTGGCTGCTTCCACTCTGTAGATGAGACCAGCTGGTCTCACAGCCAGCAACGGCTAGAGACGGGAGCGAGCTCCTCCCAGGAGGGTGCGCTTGTGACGCTCACAAGCTTCAGCAAGGGGGGCAGGGCAGGCACAGCCACCCCAAAGAAAACACTGACTCCACTTCCAGGTCATCTCAGCCTTCACCCTCCTTCTGCTCGGGATGGATCGCACACTATATGTCATCTCTCCCTGTCGGCAGTCTGAGGATCTGAGCTAAACGACCTGCCCAAGGTCACACGATGAGTCAGAAGTAAGAACGATGCTGATGATGGTAAGAGCAAGTACTCTGCTAAGCATTTTACAAATATTACCTTCCTCTGATCCTCACAACTCTGGAAGGAAGGTGCTTTTGTTATCATCCTCATCTTACAAATGAGGAAACTGAGGCACACAGAGGTTCAGTAACTTGCCCAGAGCCACACAGCTAGGCGGTGTCTGAGGCTGGATTTGGATTCAGGTCTTCCTGACTCTAGGCCCAGAGCTCTACCCATCACATCACCAGCTTCACCATGACAGACGCCCATGTCCAAGCCAAGTCTGGTGCTCTTGTAAGTAGACTGAGCCCCCTCTTTACAAAGAGTATGTGCACCCCTGGATAGCTGGGGGTAGGCGTGGGACCAACCAGTTTCAGTTCCATGAGAAAACTCCAACCAGAGCTGTCCAGACTCTTGAGCCACCCCTCAAAGGGCTGAACCTGACCCCTCTGGAAGTGCTGGCTGCTTAACACCGTCCACCAGAGAACTTCGTAGGACAAAGCCCTTCACTGAGTGGGGGGCTGTCCGGCCTGCCCACACGCTCCTTCCAGCTCAAAGCCCCAGGCCTTCTCCCCAGAGGCACTGCTGAGGAAGATGAGACTGAGAAAAGAAGAGGTGGGGCGGCGTGTGTGCCCCCTCCACTCTCTGTGCCCTGCCAGCCCTCGGTCATCTCCCCTCACGCACTACGGCCCCCCGGCCTGGCCCGCTCACCCACTTGGCTCCTGCCCCCAGAATGCTCAGCGTCCTGCCAGGCTTCCTCAGGGCTGCCTCCTACATGAGGTTTCCTTTCATTGATCCCCACCTGTCCCCTCCCCCGCCCCCATCGTACTGCTGTGTATTTCTCTTGCACTTCTCTGCGCACATCTATCTTCCCACCAGAACGTGGGCCCTGGACTTGTACCTTCCACACCCACACATGGGGCCTGGCATTCAACAGGCACTTACTAAGTGCTTACTGAATGGAAAAGCTCTGCACCATCATTAGCAAGACACCAGCAATCCCACGCCCTTCCTCCTGGAGAGATCAGTGCTCACAACTACCCTGGGGGGGGGCAGGGTATTGTCAAGTATGATTATACCCATTTTACAGACAAGGAAACAGAGGCTGAGAAAGGCCACCCAAGAAAGGCCACAGGCCACGGGATGAGCTCAAGGATGTGACTCATTTAAACCCTCATTCAAATCACTAAAAAATGTCACCTCAGCCACAGGCCTGAGAAGAGATCGTTGGGCCTTCCTTCAGACCCCTTCTCCACGAGGACCATGGGGTCCTCACTCTCCCCAGCTCTACTCCATCGTGACCTCAGAGGTGCCCAGATCCCAGACGCACCTGGACCCATGTTCCTCCACCCCCAGAGCTTCCAGACCCATTTATAACAGCAACAATAACCACAGTTAGCATTTCCATCACCATGCAAGGTTTGCAAAGCACCTTACACATATTATCTCGTTAGATTCTCACAACCCTGGAAGGCAGGTGCCACTATTATCTCCATTTTACAGATGAGGAAACTGAGGCAGATAGCAGTGAAGTGACTTGTCTGGGGTTACACGGCTAGGGAGGGCCTGAGGCTGGACTCAAACCCAGGTCTTCCTGATTCCCATTGTGCCACCTTCCTGCCTGGAGAGTGCTTTCCTCATTGAAATTCCATGAGGCAGGGATCGAACTCATCACTCCCATTTTACAGATGAAGGAACTGAGGCTAAGTGGGTTGGGTGATGTGCCCACAGTCACGCCGTACACAGCCCCAAACTAACCATCCTTCCCTCACACTCCCCGACTCTCGTCCACAAGAGCGGGGGAAATGGTTTTGGACACCCACCAGAAAGGCCTGGCTGGGGCAGTGCCCCCTGCGAGAGCGGAGCAGGGGAAGAACCCGTCCAGAAGGAGGGCGACGTGAGGTGGGCTGGACTTCTGGCTCCTCACCAGGCCCCCTTCCAGCTGTCCAACCCAAGATGAACCTTCCTGAGACGTCGTGTGCCGTGATTCTGCTCCGACAAGCGGCCCGGCTGCTTTCCCTCCAGGAAGGCTCTGCCCTCCCTTCTCTCCAGCCCAAAGTCCAGCAGCCGTGGCTTGGCCGGGTCATGGGCAGCTCTCTCTACACCTTCCTGGCTGCAGGGCCCCCATGAGCCTCCCTCTGCTCCCCAAGCACTGGGCCCCTCATTCAGACATAATCATGTGTGTGGAGGGAAGGGTGGGAGTGTCCCTGGGCCCGCTCTTTCACACGTCTCATCTCACATCTAACCAGGCAGCAACAAGCGCCTGGAACCCTGGAAAAGTATCTAGTGAGGAATCAAACACCTGGGTAAGGAATGATCGGAGGGGGGGGGTGAAGAAGAAAAGTGCCTGGGGGGGGGGGGAGGAGGAAGATTTTTTCCCCATGCAGCCTCTTCTGATAAAAGTTTCCAGCCCAAAGACAGAGAGGTCAGGAAAGTGACGCGCTGAGAACAAGGGGCTAATCTATCCCAGAGTTCACTCTGGACAGGCTGGGCTGGTGCGGACGAGAGGCCCACCACGTCCGAGGGCCTTTCTCTGCAAGAGTCCCTCCCCAAGTGCCTGCTTTCAGCTCACTCACCTGGACAGGAAGCTCTCGGGCCTTCTCTCTCCAGCATCCCCGGGGCTGCCCCTCGCTCCAGCTGGGAGATCACATCTGGTTTGGGAACGGGAAGCCCTGCTCATGGAAAATGGAAAATGCTGAGGATAGTCAGGAGGTGGCCACAATCTGTGGATGGCTGCAGTATGTTTCGTGAGGCCTTCCCAGAGGATGGGCGAGGAGGGATGGTCACTGAGTGGATTTGGAATCAGAAGCAAAATGGGGCCATGCTCCATCTCCTCAGTGGGAAGACAAGAACATTTCGCATTGTCAAGTATCTGCGCTGGGATCTGGGGGGACAGAGGAGAGGAAAGAGGGGCTCGGGAGCAGAAGGCCTGACCCTGGCCACAAGGGCTTGGGCACATCCGGGCTCTGCACACCAATGCGGAGCACGTCAAACACCCCGGTGCATTCAGCAGGTGAGGAAGCAAACCACTCCCACCCCCTGGCCCCCACCCTGGGAGGCAGGGATGCAGCCAAGCATCCTCACCCAGGGACAGCAAGTTCCTGTAGTTCTCCAGCATGACCTCCTTGTACAGCTCCCTCTGAGAGGGGTCCAGCTGCCCCCACTCCTCCTGGGTGAAGTCCACAGCCACATCCTTGAAGGTCACTGACTCCTGCAACACCAGAGAGGCATCGGCTCACCCAGGGGCCAGCCTGCATGCGGCAGAGACGGCCAGGAAGGGTCAGACGCATTCACGTGGTTCTCCCACCCCTCAGGACGGGGTCTGCGTGCCCGGGCCCTCGAGCCTCCCTCGGGACTGGGTGCTGAGTGGTGACACAGAGACGGTGCCTCCCATCCCCTAGCATTTGAGGGCTTCCAACGACCACTTTCTTTAGCCTAATTTTACAGCAAAGGAAACAGAGTCCTGGGGAGTTCAATGACTAAGTGTCTGAGCAGAGTTGAACTTGGGTGTCTGGACCCTCCAGCGCTCCTTCTCCGTGCCCCCGGCCTGATGCTGGACACCCCCCAAGGAAGCGCCAGTTAATTCCTGCCCCTCCCTGCTCAAGGGGGAACTGAGTGAGAGATCTTCAAGGCCAATGGCGCCCTCCAAACAGGCATTTCCCACGAGGTTGGACCTCCAGACTTGGGTAGTGTGCACCAAGACTGTCTGCTTTCTGAGGGCCAGCCTCACTGAGCTCTAGTGAAGAGGCTCCGTGCCAGGGGGCAGGCCACTGGGGAGGGCGTCCTCAGGCCAAAGGAACAGCCATCATGAGCTAGGCTGTGACCGTGAGCATGGCGTGGCCCCTTCTGTGGAGTGGCAGGTTAAAGCTTAGGGCAGCTGGGGGGTGCCACAGTGGATAGGGCGCTGGGCTGGAGTCAGGAAACCTGAGTTCAAATACTATCTTAGACACTTACTGGCTAGGTGACCCTGGGCAACTCACTTCATTCGGTCTGAGACGGTGCTGATCTGAATTGACGGAGGGAGTTTCCTCACTTGGTAGTTCCCTGTACCACCGAGATCACAGGGCCAACTCCTCTCCCCATCCTTTCATGACACAGTGCAGTTCCTCCATCCCTTCTCTCCCCACCTCTTATAACAAAGCATAAAAAAACAAAAGACATCTCTAAAAAAACCTTTTTTAAATATGGAGGAGGATGGCTCATTTATACGGTGCCTTATGATTTCCAGAGCATTTTTACAGACGTGATCTCATCCGAACCTCCCAACAACCCTGTAAAGGAGGTGCTTGTACAGATAAGGAAACTGAGGTTGAGCAAGATGAAGTGATTTGCCCAGGGTCACACAGATAGTGTGTGTCCGATGTAGGATGTGAACCCAGGTTTTCCTGACTCCAAGTCTATGTCTAGGTATTCTAAGACATGAAGAGTAAGGGCATCTTGGGCATTGGGAACAGCCTGGACAAAGGTGTAGAGATGGGAAACAGAAGACCGAGTCTGCTTAATGGGCAGTGTGGTCGGAATGTATTATAGGTGAAGAAGAGTGATGCAGGGAAAAGGCAGCGAGATTCTGGCTGGGGAGAACGTTAAGTGTCAGGCTGAGGAGTCTGCAGAGGTCAGAGGGAGCCAGTGAAGATTACTGAGCAGGGGAGCAGCGCAACTTGACCCGGGCCTTAGGAGGAGAGCCACTGTGATAGGCTGGCACCAGGCAGGAGCAGAGCACCTACCGAGTGGGCAGAGGCCTGGATGGGAAGAGCGAGGGCAAAGAAGGAGCCTGAGGCCGTAGACAGTGGAGGGAGAGGACCGGAGGGGAAGGCAGGCCCCACCTGGGACACACTGGGGGGGACCACAGGTCTCCAGCGTGGGAGACAGAGGAGGCCTGCGCCAAGCTCAGTGACCGGGAATCCCCTGCCGTGTGAATAAGTGACAAAGAGCAGAGGGACCCACAACAAACGCTGGCAGTGCAGACTCACCCCAATGACCTCGGCCACCGGGACCCTAGGTTCACCCCTCATTTGACAGATGAGGACACTGAGGCCCAGAGAGGCTAACTGATTGTCTGGGGTCATTCAGCTACTAAGCGTTTTAAGCACGATTTGAACTGAGGTCTTCCTGACTCCCGTCCACTGTGGAAAGAATCACGTCCACGTTGAGAGCCTAGGTGCCGATGGGAGTGGGCTCCAACTCACCAGGGCCTCGGTTCTCAGGCCCCCGGGGGCCATTCCCTCTCAGGCCAGGGTGCGACCCTCCGAAGGACACCTGGGGAAGAGAAGAGAGCGGTGAGCTGCGCGGGGCTGACGTCTTCTCGCACCTGGCAGACAGGGGCTTTTGTGGCCCGGGGCCCAGGCACCCCTCCTGGAGGCCAGGAGGCTGGAGCTGAAGGCCAGAGTCCAGCAGGCAGAAGGGAGCTAGCTGGGGGGTGGGGGGAGCGCAAAGACCGCCGACTCCAGCCCCTTCTGGCTGGATGGCCGAGCGATCCACAAGCGCCCAAAGCCTCGAAGCGGCCAATTGCGCCCGCACTGCCCCGGCCCTCCCTGCAGTAAGGAGAGGGGCTGGCCCTTCCCGGAGCTCGGGCGCCCCAACCCTCCTCCCCTCTCCCTAAGGTGTCAGACAGGCATTCATATACTAAGCCGGCAGGCCCTGGAATGGCACGGTGACTGAAACCAAGACCTGATTTTCTTGTTTTTGGAAAAACTAAACAGCACCGACAGAGGACAGCTCCCAACCCTCCCGAAAGTTCAGAGGGTCCAGGCCAGACTCAAGATCAGCAGACAGCTGGATGGGGAGATAAATTACGTCTTTACTTTCAGTAACTTCTCACTGACGTAGAGCCTTTTCTTTAGTTACGTGAATGCATAATTCTGAAAAAGGCTTCACTGGGCTGCCCAGGGGTCCGTGACCCCGAAGCGGGGGAGCCCCTCACCCTGGGGCCCAGTCATCCGGCAGGACTGGAACCCAGGTGCTCCCGCTCCAAGCCAGCCCTCGCATCTTCCCAAAGGCTTCATCTGCCTCGCCCCGAGCCTGCCGGACCAGCCCTGGGCTACTGGGGGGCGGCCCGGGGGGGTGACCGGCCCCCCAGCCCCCCGGAGCTTCTGTCCCATTTCAATGGGATGACCCCCCACAGGGCTGAGCAGACGCGAGACCCCAGAGTAGGGGGGCCTCCAGTGTGGGGGGCACGGCGCTCCTGGGTCCAGATGGGAGGGGAAGGTGGGGGGCGGGGCACGGGACCCCTGAATCCCCGTGGGAGGGATGGGTCGGGGGTCTGGGGATGCTCGGATGGAGTAGGGGCTGCTGGCTCAGATGGGGATGGGGAGCAGGTAGGGGGACGCCCGCCGGACCCTGGGTCCAGTCACTCTGGAGAGCCCACGGGACGCCGGGGTCCTGCCCACTCGGGCCGGACCTTTGGAGAGACTCACCCCGAGAAGCTGCGGCCACGAGGTCACAGGGAGGGGGGTGGAGAGGAAAATGGAGGAAGCGGAAGTGGAGCACAGAGCGGGCATCCTGGGAAATGTAGTCCGGAGTCCCGGGGAGCTTTGTGAGCATGCTCAGGAGAGGCCGCCCCCTCCTTCCCCGTTCTCCTTCCCTCTCTGTGCAAGCCGGAGGGGCGGGGCGGGGGCGGGGCACAATCTCGGGCTTGAAGTTGGGGGAGGAGCCAGAACGCGCGGGGCTGAAAGGAATGTGGGCGGGGCCTAATGGGGTGGGCGGGGCAAAGCCAGAATGGATGAGGTGGAGCGAGTGGGGCCAAGCCAAAGGTAGGCGGGGCCAAGAAGTGCTTTCTCCTCCCTCCCTTTCCATGGATTTTCCTGCCATTCCCTGAAGGGCTGCCTGGAGGAGGAGCCTAAGGCTGCCTCCCCCCACCCCCAGTGTTTTGGGCTCTCAGCATGCGCCCCCAGGGCTCCTGCATTGCTCTTCTCCTTCCTAATGCAGCCTCCCAGCAAATAGCTTGTTCACTCATTCGTTCAATCATTCATTCACTCATCCCTCCCTTCTCCCTCCCTCCTTCCCTCCCTCCATCCATCCCTCCCTTCTCCCATCTCTCCTTCTTTCTCTCCCTCCCTTCTCCCTCCTTCTCTCCCTCCCTCCTCCAGTTGTGCCTCCTCTGTTCTGATCTCGTGGCCTTTTCTCCAGGCTCCCTGCTTTCATGCCCTTCCTCTCCTCCTAAAGTTTGGCTCTTTGAACATGTCCCTTCTGTTATCTGCAATCTCTTCCTACTGGGGCTGGGAGTGGCTGGTGCATTGCCAACCTGGGGTGGGGATGGGAGGGGGGAGAGGAAAGGATGGGAGATGAGAGGGAAAGAAAGAAGGAAGGGAGGAAGAAAGGGTTAGCCCTGGGAAATGTTGCTCCTACCTCTGGAATCCTGAGTCTACTGTAGCATGGTATTAAAGGAAAATTCTCTCTAGGAAGAGAGGTCTTCAGCATCTTTCTGCATGAGTGTCTGGAAATAGCAAGATTCTTAATGCCCTGGGGGAAAAGTTCATTCCTCTCTCACCCTGAAAGAAGAGTGCTCATAAGTCACCAGGTCAGGAATAAGCAGTGCTCACAACTAGATTAGAAGTAGGGAACCCAAAGGTAAGAAGGCAGAAAGGAGGCTGGGGAATGGGACTGAGGATAGGTGTGTCAAGGGATGTAGACAGACCTGCACTTCAGCAAAACCACTTTGGCAGCTGAGCGCAGGACAGATCAGAGAGACCTGATGCTAGAAGAGAAGGGAAAAGGCTTTGCCATAGGCCAGGTGATGAGGGCCTGTACTAGAGAGGTGGAATGAAGAGGATGGAGAGGAGATGTTGTGATGGAACAATGATTCCCTTTCCAATTAAAACAAAAACAAAACTCTTGTTCACCCAAGAAATCGCAAGGCATAGTGGATGTCAAGCCCACCGTGGAGCCAAGAAGTGCTATTCAAGGCCTGTCTCTGACACACTGTGACCATGGACAAGTCACTTAACTCAATAGCCTGGGCCACAATCCCAATTGCCCTCCTCAGGACATCCATCCTCCAGCTCATAATGTCTTTCATTTCCCATTTGGTAATTTTAGTCATTTCTTTCAAAAAAGGTGGATCTATTAATGATCAGTGTTTAGTTTTTGCAAAAAAAGAAATCAGGTCTTGGTTTAATCAACATGCCATTCCAGGGCATGCCAGTTTAGGATATAAATTCCTGTCTGAATCTTATGGGGGGGGAGGGCTGGGGCAGTATGGCGCAGCGCAAGAGCCCTGCTCCGCAGTCCTGATTTCAAGTCCCACTTCTGACACGACTTAGATGACCTTAGGCAAGTCTCTTAACCTCCTTGACCCGTTTCCTCATCTCTAAAACAAGGAGCTTGGACTAGGGGCCTTTGAGACTTCTTCCAACTCTAGACCTGACCCAAGGAAGATTATAAGCAGCGTTGTTATTGTTCAGTTGTGTCCGACTATTCATGATCCCAGTTGAGGGTTTCTTGGCAAGGATCCTGGAGTGGTTTGCCATTTCCTTTTCCAGTTCATTTTAAAGGTGAGGAATTGAGGCAAATAGGGTTAAGTGACTTGCCCAGGGTAACACAGCTAGGAAGTGTCTGAGGCCAGATTTGAACTCAGGAAGATAAGTCTCCCTGACTTCAGGCCCAGCATTCTATGCACTGTACCACCCAGCTGCCCCAGCACTGGAGAGGATGGGGGGGCTGGAATTGAGCTTCAAGAAAGTTTGACAAGAAACCAAGCTAAGCAAATTTATGAACTGGGAAGGAAGTCAACAGGCAAAAAGATGGAAAAGATATGCAAAGATTTTTATAATGGATTTTAAGGACAATAGAACCATCACCCTTAGAATCTCACAGTACTGAATGGGTTTAATGAGGAAGTAGAAAAGATAGTAAGAAAACAGAGACAGAAAAAAACCCAGCTGGACTAGGTCACGTATACATAGTGGAGGTCTGTGTAGGGAGTAACAAAACTTGGGGTGGAAGGGTGGCAGCGATGAGGAATTGGTTCTCCAAGTTTCTGGAAAAGGGCAAGGTGGGTGTGGGGAAAACCTCAGAGCATCAATAACCACACAATCTGTCCATATTTGCTTACTTAGAAAATGCTTATGAGAGTAAACAGATAGGTAGAGCAGTAAATAAGAGTGCTGGACCTGAAATCAGGAAGACTTGAATTCCAATCCAGATTCAGACATATACTAGCTGTGTGATCCTGGGCAACTTGTTTAACCCTGGCTCCATTTCCACATCTGTAAAATGGGGACAACAGTATCTACCTCCAAGGATTGTTGTATCAAATGAGATTTATAAAGTGCCTTGCGAACCTTAAAGTGCCACATAAATGTTAACTCTGCTACTCACTTTGTGTGCAAACTTGGCCATCACTTAACCTCTTCCGGGCTTTTCTCATTACGATATGGATATGTTTAAGGTCCCTAATCTATGATTAGAGGCCATGAGATTCCACTATGCTCGATTGTTGACTATAAAGCCTTTGATTGAGTTGAGCAAAATGAAACTTTAAACTTGCTCTGCCTGGTTATTTCTATGGGAGGAAAACAATACTGAAAACACACCAAGTAATTTTGGGTGAGTGAAATTACCAACTAGGGGCTGAGGACAGGCTTCATTTTAGGAAGCAGCTCTCAAGTCGAGACTTGATAGAAACCAGAAGTCCAAATAGATATAGACGAAGGATGAGTTCCAGACATAGCGGGCAGCCCTCGTAACGGGAAAGAGTTGGGAGATGGAACATCACGGAGAAGAAACAGGTAGATCAGCTTGGCTAGAACAGTATGTGAAGAGGGGGAGAGGGGAATGTGCCATTAATCTAGAAAGATAAACTTAATCTGGCCTGTCAAAGGCTTTGCATGCCAAAAGGAAATGTGTGTTTCATCCTAGAGGCAAGAGGGAGTCATGGGAACTTCTAGAATAGGAAAGTGATACAGTCAGACCGAGGCTTTAGAAATACTAACTTGGTAGTGACGTAGAAGATGGATTTGAGGAGGGAGAGACCGCAGGCAGCTGTATAATTAGGTGGGTTTGAGAAGCCCAAGCAACAGCTGATGACCTGAACTAGGGCAAGAGCTGAGTAAGCAGAAAGATGCAAGAACTATGTGGGTAGGATCACCAAGGTTCTAACTGGATATGGGAATGACAGAAAGGGTAGAGTTGAGAATAATTCTGAGGTCACAAACCCGAGGGAATGGCAGGATGGGGGTGACTTTAGCAGAAATAGGTAAATCAGTAAAATACAGGTTTAGGGGAAAATGAATTCTGTTTTGAATACGCCAAGTCTGAGATGCCTATGGTACATCCCGTTTGATTCAACAACTCTCTGATAATACCAGGCAAGGCGAAAAACAGCAAGACACCAATGCTAAGGACTTAGATAACTGGGAAATGGATGTAATAACCACTGGGAAAAGTCTGTGACTTGTTTCTTCTCACAAAAAGACAAGGATGCAAAATATCTATTTTTTTTTTTTTGGTGCTAGACTTGTATTTCTATATAACTTTTTTGCTATTTGTTCCCCCACTTTAAGGTGGTGCAGAATCAGGCAGTCTCTGTAACCCCAATTTATTCTTTCCACTTCAAACCAAACTTGATACCCATTTATTAAGCACCTACTATGTGCACATAGGAGTAAGGACTTTGCTGGGCAATGAGGGTTAAAAAAAAAAAAGGAAAGGGAATCCTTGCTCTCAAGAAGTTTGTATTCTGTAGAGGGTACACAATATTTTATTTGCATGAGTAAGTGAAAGGTAATTTGCAGAGGAAAAGAGTACAACTAGAAGGATTATGAAAAGTATCCTGAAAATGGGGACATCGGAATTGAGCTTATAAGAGAATGATAAGGAGCTCATAAGGAATTGGAGAGTTCTAAAAGGTGGAATGAGCAGGAGTGGATATTTCAAGCGAGCAGCATAGCAGGTACAAAGGTAGAAGGAAGAATGGAAAACTTGGTTCAGGAAACAGCAAACAGGCCAGTTCAGCATCAGTGTAGACTGCACAAAGGAATGTGAAATGAGTGTGGAAGGGTAATGCCAGGAAAGGGAGCTTGTATTTTATCCTAGAGGTGACAGACAGTCACTGAATATGGTCTTCCAATATGCATCACATTTATTAGGAACTTTCTGATGGTTAGAAATCTTTTTGGGTCAAAAGACTTTCCACATTACATTGTAGGGTTTCTCTACAATACACTTCTCAGATGATAAATAAGGGATGAATGTTGTCTGAAAGCTTTCCCACTTGGATTACATTTGAAGGGGTTGGGAGTTTTGGTGTACTCCTAAAGTTGGTGTACTGGCTAAAGGCCTTTCCACATTTATTTACAAGGGTTCTTCAAATATGCATTTTCTGATGTCTAATAAGGTGTGTGCTTCTGCTGAAGGCCTTGCCACACTTATCACATTCATAAGGTTTCTCTCCGGTATGAATTCTTTGATGGTAGATAAGTAGTGTATTCCTACTGAAGGCCTTGCCACATTCATTACATTTATAAGGTTTCTCTCCAGTATGAATTTTCTGGTGTCTAACAAGGTCTGGTGTGCGGTTGAAAGCCTTCCCACATTGATTGCATTCATAAGGTTTTTCTCCACTGTGAATTCTCCGATGTACAGTAAGGGAGGAGCTATCATTGAAGGCCTTGCCACATTCATTACATTTATGTGGTTTCTCTCCAGTATGAATTCTCTGGTGGCAAATAAGTTTTGCATTCTGGCTATAAGCCTTCCCACATTCATCACATTTATAAGGCTTTTCTCCAGTATGAGTTTTCTGGTGTTTAATAAGATCTGTGCTTCGATAGAAGGCCTTCCCACACTGACCACATACATAGGGTTTTTCTCCAGTATGAATTCTCTGATGATAAGTAAGGGATGAGCTATCAATGAAGGCTTTTCCACATTCATTACATTTATGGGGCTTCTCGCCAGTGTGAATTCTCTGATGGTAAGTAAGAGATGAATGTTGGTTGAAGGCTTTCCCACATTCGTTACATTTATGGGGCTTATCTCTATTGTGAATTCTTTGATGTACAGTAAGGTTTGTGCTCTGGCTAAAGGCCTTCCCACATTCATTACATTCATAAGGCTTCTCTCCAGTATGAATCTTCTGATGTCTAATAAGGTCTGTGCTTCGGCTGAAGGCCTTCTCACACTGATTACATTCAAACGGCTTTACTCCAGTATGAATTCGCTGGTGCATATTAAGGGATGAGCTATCGATAAAGGCTTTACCACATTCATTACATATATGGGGTTTCTCTCCAGTATGAATTCGCTGATGGCAAATAAGTCTTGTATTCTGACTGTAGGCTTTTCCACATTCATTACACTTAAAAGGCTTTTCTCCACTATGCGTTTTCTGGTGTTTAATCAGATCTGTGCTACGGCTGAAGGCCTTTCCACAGTGATTACATGCATAAGGTTTCTCTCCAGTATGAATTCTCTGATGGTAATTAAGGGATGATTGTTGGTTGAAGGCTTTTCCACATTCATTACATTTATGGGGTTTATCTCCATTATGAATTCTCTGATGTACAGTCAGATATGTGCTTTGGCTGAAGGCCTTCCCACATTCAGCACATTTAAAAGGCTTTTCTCCAGTATGAATTTTCCGATGTCTAATAAGGTCTGGTGTCCGACTGAAATGTTTTCCACATTCAGCACACTCATATGGTTTTTCTCCAGTATGTATTCTCTGATGGTAACTAAGGGATGAGTGTTGTTTGAAGGCTTTGCCACATTCATTGCATTTATAGGGTTTTTCTGTAGTATGAATTTTCTGATGGTAAACAAACTTTGTGCTCTGAGTGAAAGTCTTCCCACATTCGTCACATTTATAGTGGTTCTTTCTAGTATGAGTTTTCTGATGTCTAATAAAGTTTGTGCTCAGGTTGAAGGCCTTTCCACATTCATTACATTCAAAACGTTTCTCTCCAGCAACCTTACTATGACACTGAATGAGGTCTGTCTGATAACCGAAGAGTTCCCCACATTCATTATACTTGGATTGTACCTCTCCTGAGGCAAATTTCTTCATTAGGCTTGAATGCTGTCTGAAGCTTTCCCCAAATGCATCCCATTTATTTTGACTCTTTGCTATAGGAACTGTCTGTTGTTTTTCAGAAAAGACTAACCTCAAACTGATGCTTTCTCCAAGTTTATTACATTCAAGGTCTCTGACATCCCTGGGAATTTTCCTGGAATGAAATGATAATTCCTCGGAATGACTCTCCTGTTTGCACTTCTTTCCTAATGAGACATCACTTTTCCAGGTTTCTCCCACCTTGAAGTCCCAGGAACTGGTGCCTGTGAATCTCTCCTGGGATGATTCTTGCATAGTAATGCCCAGCTTTACAGTAAACTCTTTGGCTTCAGGCTTAGACTCCCAATCTGAAAGAAATTAAAAAAAAAAAAAGTAAATCCTCTCCTTCTCCTGTTTACATTTAATCTTCTATCTTCTCAGACAAAAAAAGTAATCTACACACATGGAAGGGCAGAATGAACAACAATAAAATACCATGATTTCGAATTCACAGAGTGATTTACTTTGTAAAGCATTTTTACATGAATCATACCAGTGGATGCTTACACAGCCTTGTGAGTTAGGCAGGGCAGGTACTATTATTCATTCTACTTCACAGAAGAAGCTGTGGCTCTGGTTGGTTGGATGACTGACCAAACTGACACTGCTCTTCAGGGCAACGCTGGGAGGCTGACTGCCGACTGCTGATTCAGCGATCCCCGAAGGCCTCTCTGTGCCCCTGGAACATCCTTAACAGGCACAACCTGAATGATTTCAGGTCTTCAGGAACACAACAACATCATCCAAGGAGAGCAAAAGGACATGCAGACACAGATGTGCGTACGAAGCCCTGGCCGCTGGGAGCAGCATGTTTTACATGGCCGGGATGGTTTCTCTTGGGGACTGAGTGTGCCGTCCTCAGTATTTGGACAATGGGTACAAACCACTGGGGTGGCTTCCTGTGCTCCTGGGGCATAAAAAGCCAAGTCTAAAAGGAGCTGGGGTCTCTAGGATTGATGGAATTCTCAAGACATCTCCCTGACCAGACGCTGTCATGTTGGTAAATGGGGAGGGAAGCAGTCTTCACTTGAGTCTGTGACTGAATCCCTTTAGAATCTCATATTCCCAAGTGAATCTCTTTTCACTGAATTCTACATGGTCCCCAAGTGTTTTATTGTGCTTCTGTCCCAAGCCTGAATCAGGGGCCTGGTCTCAGTCAAGCCCAGTCTACAGCACCTGGTATTAATCTCTGAGAAACTCTGGAGAATAAGAGTGTCACCCAAAGAAGCGTTTGAAACTCCACGAGTTGGCAAGGGGAAATTTAAGGAGATACAAACGGATGAGAGGAACAAAAATACCTGACAAAATGCTAAAACAGACAGTTTGTGCAAAATTGAAAAGAGCAAACGAAAGCCAAGTTAAACTAACTCCACTTCCTTTATCGATGGGGCTGTCTGACTGACAGGTTGGAACATAAAAGCACTCAACATTTATCTAGACTTCTGTGACCTATCTGTAACAATCTTCAACAGACCCGGATACACCCAAAGTGGGCTGTTTTTTTTGTTTTTTTTTGGTGAGGTAACTGGGGTAAGTGACTTGCCCAGAGTCACACAGCTAGTGATTGTTATGTGTCTGAGGCCAGATTTGAACTCAGGTCCTCCTGACTCCAGGGCCAGTGCTCTATCCACTGTACCACCTAGCTGCCCCTGAAGTGGGCTGATCAGCAGACTGCTGAAGGGCTCTATTTCTCTAAGGCAGGCACTTAGCTTTCTCCAAATCAACATTTTTAAATGACGCCAACCTGCCACCAATGTGGTAGCGGCCCTCATCACCTCAAGGCCGGACTACAGCAACAGCGGCTGCGGGGTCTGCCTGCCTCCAGCCTCGCCCACTGCCAAGCCATCCTCCATTCAGCTAATGAAGTGATTTTGCTAAAATGCAGCCCCGACCACATCACCCCCCCCACTCAGTAAATTCCAGTGGCTCCCTACAGCCCCCAGGATCCAATACAAAATCCTGTGTTTGGCATTCCAAGCCCTCCCCAGTCCTCGCACGCCTGATTCCTCTCCATGGACTCCATGAGTAACTAAACTGACCCTCTTGCTGCCCCACCTCTGGGCCTTTGCACAGGCTGTGGCCCACGCCTGGCACTCTCTTCCTCCTCATCTCCAAGAGTCAGTTAAAGTCCTACCTCATGCCAGAGGCCCCTCCTGGTCTTCAGTCTCCCAGTCCTCCTTTCCTCCCCATCTCCCACTCAGGCCTTTCTTGGAGATGACCTCTAGGTTACCCTCTAGATATTCTGTATCTACCTAATTGTTTATAGGTTGTCTGCTCCTTCATAATGAGAGCTCCAGGAGGGCTGGGCTAAGGTTTTGTTTTTTGTTCTTTTTTTTTTTTGCTTTTTGGTGAGGCAATTGGGGTTAAGTGACTTGCCCAGGGTCACGCTGCTAGTAAGTGTCAAGTGTCTGAGGACAGATTTGAACTCAGGTCTCCAGACTCCAAGGCTGGAGCTCTACCCACTGCCAACTAGCTGCGCCTGCAGGGCCAAGTTTTTGATCCTTCTGGTATCCCTAGCACTTAGCACAGTACTGGCCACACAGGAGCATTTAACAAATGCTTGTTGACCGACTGGTGAGGCAGAGAAGATAGCCTGCTCACCTGGCAGATGAGACAAAGTTAGGTTGGAAAATAATATGCCAGATGACAAATACAAGTTTCAAGCAGAGCCTGAGGCAGACTGGATTAATAAACCAAAAAGAGGAATTATTTTCAGGGACAAATGTCAAGTCCTGCACACAGATTCCAAAGACCCATGCAGAAACAAAGCATGGGCCAGAAGTGGCCTGATGAAGTGCAACAAAAACGTAGCCCCCCTGATGAAGGCAGTGTGGCACATTGGGAGGAGCAGTGCCTCTGAAGTCTGAGGCTCTGGGTCCAAATGCACACCATTTGACCTCTCTAGGGCTGTTTCCTCACCTGCAAAATGGGAAGGAGGCCCCTTCCAGCTCTAAAGCTTGGCTCCTCCAGCTGGAGAAGCAATGGTCACATACTCTGACTCCGTCCTGGTCCGGGAGCATCTAAAACCCAAGGCTCTCTTGTTCACTGAGGAGTTGCTACTGCTAAGGTTGAGCAGAAGCAGGCTCGGAGGCCTAACGGGGATGACAGCATGTTGCTCTCCGCCAGGGCATGCTCAGGACTCTCTCAGGACTAAGCGCTGCTGCCACACCTTGTGGGGGCCAGGTCAGCCCATAAATGGAGAAAAGGAACATTCTTTAAAGGGACACATTTCACAGGCTTGGTGATTTCCAGACGAAACAAAGCATGCTTTAAAGAGGCTCCAGCATCCTCCCACAGAAGTGAGGAGACGTCATCAGGGATATGGAAGACAGGGATGGGAGTGAGCCCCCAGACAGGCAACGGTGATGGACCGACAAGCTGTGGGCTGTGCTCGGATCCACCATGTATCAGAAGGCAGAGGGTTCTGTGGGTATTCAGTATAAAACTGGTGGCCTGGTGCAAGGTCAGAGTAGCACCTTTCCCCCAATCCCCCACGTCTGAAAAGCTGAAAGAGAACTCAGTGGCCATCTTGTCTGATCTGGACCTGGATTTTAATGCCCTCTGCTTAAAGGCCCTGCCCCAGGATGACGGGGAACTCACCACCATTTAAAGATTCTCCCTCAAGTTCTGAACTTCCTTATTGCAGAGACAGGAGGCGTCTGCCACTGGGGCCAAGCAGTCAACAAGCATTTGTAAACCCCTCTATGTGACTGGGCCTAGACTAAACACTGGCCTATGACAGTCCTTCAAATGTCTGAGGCAGTCCTCACGTCTCCCCTGAGCTTTTCTTCTCCAGCCCAGTTCCTCCCATGGCGTGATCTCCAATCTCCTCAGGGTCCTGGTCATCCTCCAAAGGACACACTCCTGTCTGTGCATACTTCAGCCCTGGCCTCAGTGGCTGCATCAATGTGGGGATTTCCTCCCTCCAAAGAGGCAGATCAAAGCCCACTGAGACCTCCTCATGCCATGGCTTCTGCTCACGTCTGTCGACGGTTTTCCTAAAAGTGAGCACGGCGCTCCACAGGCGGCCAGACCGGTGAAGAGAGGCTGCACTTCCGTCCACACAGCTCCAGTTCACTCAACTCTGTCTGCCATGCCACGTAGCTATGATGGAACTTCTGTGAAGCGCACCACCACACCTGGCTTCTTTTCAGAATGGCAGCTCACTTCCAGGCTGAGGCCTTCCCCTGGATCAGATATGGCCCAGGGGTCTCTCCCGTCGTCCCCTTCCATCTGGTCTCATAGGGCTCACCACCTTTACCCATCATGGCGACACAATCGTTCTTACTTGTCGCTTCTATCACTACGTCATCGTTCCAACTCTACTCCAAAACCAGAGGGCACAGGGAACATTTCCTCTTTCTTTGATAATGCTCTCAGGGCTGGGATGGTGTTTTATACCAGGAAATGAGAAATATGGCCATGGAGGAGGGAGTTAATGGAAGAATGACTTCTTGGCGGGACCCCAAAGAATACTGATGGAGAAAGAGCTATCTCATTCTGGAAACAACTTTTTCTGAGAATAAAGGTAAAGAGGGATTGACGTAGAACAGGAAAAGAATTTGTTCAGATAAAGGGTATCTATGAAAGGGTGTCTGTCCATACCAGACAGCCTCACCATTCCCCATAGCGTTGGGGCTCTGCAGGGGCATCCCTTGGGCAATACTTCAAAATGTGTCCTACGTTTACAGAAAATGTTTCCACGGGAAGAGTCCCAGTGCCCAGTTCCCCTCACTCACCTAGATAGGAGCCTCTTGAACTTTCTTTCTCCAGCATCCACGGGGCTTCCCCTCGCTCCAACTGAGAGATCATGTCTCTTTGGGGAACCGGAAGCCCTAGTTATCATAAACAGAGAAGTGCTGAAGAGAGAGAGAATCTCAGAATTCAGTCCTCTTTAAGAAATGAGGGTCTGCTAGGCAGGTCTAGGAGACTGTCCACAGAACCTCTGGAGAAAGCTCTCTGTGGTATTTCCAGGAAGGAGAGATGCTGTGGTATGGGGCTCCAGCTTGACTCGGAACTGGGCAGAAAATTAGTTCATTTTGTCCATTTCCTGCCCAGCCTCTCCTCCCAATATCCTCAACCCCCAGAACCTACCCTGGAATTGGGGGAAGTTATGTGGGAGAAGGGACTTTCTCTGCCTGCCCCAGCCGGCAAAACTATGGGTACCAGGGAAAAGCTGCCAAGACTCAAATTTAGGCTGAAGGGAAAGATGTGCTCCTAACAATTCCCTCCATTCACAAACAGAACAGGCCAACTTGGGAAGTGGCGTCAAGCAGAGGCTGGAGGATCACACGAGGGGCAGGCCTGCAGAGGACAGCCTTCCTCAGGGACAAAGCAGACTACATGGCCTTCGAGGCCAGTCCGATTCTATTTTTAGTCCCCAACAACAAAGGACGGCAGCAGAGACAGCTCAGGGTGGCCTAATGGAGCTCTCAGTTTCCAGTTACACTGTGCAGAGGCCTTTGTGTGAGAACACGGAGCAGATGTGTCCTGCCTCTCAGAATTGCTAACCCCTCAAAATACCTTCAGCCACCCAGCAAGGGAAGAAGCCACAAGGGCTCAAGGGCACTCCCACTTCACAAGGCCCGGGCCAGGGCCCGGGGAAGCCGCCCTCACCTAGGAATACCAGGTTCCTGTAGTTCTCCAGCATCACCTCCTTGTAGAGCTCCTTCTGAGAGGGATCCAGGCGTCTCCACTCCTCCCCAGAGAAGTCCACAGTCACATCTCTGAAGGTCAGTGACTCCTAAAATGCCAAAGAACAAAAGATTTAGAAACGGAAGGAACTTCCGATATTCTTCAGTCAAACCCTTCTGTTTTACGGAGAATGAAATGTGGATGGAGGCGGGGCAAGCCGCTTGAGCACAGGTCACCAGGACGGTGAGGGTCTGAGCCGGGGTTCAGCACAAGCTTTCTAGTTGTGAGAACAGTGCTCTCTCCACTTGGCACCTCCACCCCTTCACACTCTCCTCCAGCGAATGCCAAGTGAGTTCCTCATGCCGGCTGATGTGCCAATCCACGCAGCTGATGTGCCAATCCACGCAGCTGATGGTCGTCTTAGCACCACAATCACACTGAGGTAGCTGGTACAACTCCACACCCAAGAGGCAGCAGACCTGGAAAGGCCTAAAAGTGTCTGTGCCTAAGCCCATCACAAGCCAGAAGGAGAAACAGGCCACCAAGGAAAAGTCACTGGGGCAAAGTTTCATGGTCAGTCCAGGTCTCCTGACTGCAGCCTCAGACCCTTGCCAGTGCACAGGTCTGAGGTATCTCCCTACGGGTTGTGGGAAGTGAGGACAGAGGATGGGGGGACAGAAGGGGAGAAGATGTAGGAGAGACAAAGAAGGCCCCAAGGAGGAAAGCGGCCTGGCTCCTCGAGGGACCCGATGACAGGCAATCATGAAATCTGAGAGGATTCACAGGGTGTGAAGACCACAATGGGGCAGGCCAGGCATTCGCAAAGTCCCCACCAAGCTGCTACCCCTCCTCTGTCCAAAGACCTGCAACAGAGGGAACCCTTCCTCCCAAGGCATTGGCCCATTTCGCACAGCTTTACTCCTGGTAGGAAGCTTCTTATTCCCTGGCATCTGGCTCAAGTCTAACTCTTAGGAACGTCTACCTGGGACTCTTGGCTAGATTCTCTCCTGGATCAAGCAGAAAAAGGTGCACCCTCTTTTATACGACAAATCCTCCAATACCTGAATACAGCCGTTCAGATAGACTGCAGGGCCTGGAGTCAATGAGTTCAAATCTGGCCTCAGACACTTACTAGCCTTGTGACCCTGGGCGAGTCATTTAACCTCGGTGTGTTTCAGTTTCCTCAACTGCAAAATGGAGAAAATAAAAGCACGTACCTCTCAGAACTGTTGTATCAGATGAAATAAAGTGCTTAGCACAGAGCCTGGCATAGGGTAGGGGCTTAAGAAATGCATGTTTCTTTCCTTTCTTCTTCCCCCCACCCCTGCCTCAGGTTAAAAGCTCCAGTTCTTTAAACCATTCCTCATAGAGGTGGCATGATATAGTCCACAGAGGTCTGACCTTGGACTCAGGAGAACCAAGGTCACGCCCCATCGCTGGTACCGCAAACGATACCTCTGAGCCTTCGTTTTCTCTGTAAAACGTGGATGATAATTCTGGTAGTGTCTACCACATGACTGCCAGGAAGTTCAAGTGAGAAAAGGTGATTCTCAAAATAGAACGCGCCATCAAAATGTCAGCTATGACTACTGCTCACCAACTTTACTTGCCAAACCCTGCAGCCTCCTCTCAGCCCCTGTCCTTCTGATATCTCTGCTACCCTGTAAGACCACTCTTCCCTGGATCTCCTCCGGCCCCCTCTCCACCGCTGGCTCCTCCTCCACGTCCCGCTCCCTAACTGTGGGGGGCTGTGGGGTGGGCCCTCTCCTCATATCACACCCCTCCCCGTCCCTGGAGGCCTCTTACCTTCCCTGGCTTTGTACGCAGGTGTGTCCTTTGGCTACCCTCTGAGAAAGGCCTAACTCAATTGGGGGTTTCTATAAAGTGCTATTTTTTTCTTTTCTTTTTCCTCATTGACGCTCCCAAGTATTTTATACCTTTTGTATTTGTTTTGAATAGAATTTTTCTTTCCATCTCTCTTCCAGCAGAGCTCTGCTGGTAATATGCAGAAATACTAATTATGTGGGCTTATTTTATATCCCACCAAATTGGTTTCATTTAATTTTGTGGTTACCTACAGTTTTCTAAGTAAAACATTCTATCATCTGCAAAGAGAATAATTTTGTTTCCTCTTTACCTACTTTGTATTAAGTTTCAAAATATGTTAATATGATCATTAAGTTTTATAGAATTCAGAGGAGAAAGATTTATTTATGGTTTCATCCCAGTTCCTGAAGATTGGTTCTGTTTTTTTCCTGTGTGTAAACCTTTGAACTGGCTTAGATTTGGGCTACTAAGAAGACTCCAGAATTTGTCAATGAAGGGAAAAAGAGAGAAAAGAAAACCCCCCACATCCAGAATCACCGATGGCAGCTCTTTGGGTAGCAGCTGCAAACTGGAAACGAAGCGGGTGGCTGCCTACTGGGGAATGACTAAGTCAACTGTGGTGCGTGAATGTAACGGAATATTGCTGGGCCATTAGAAACAGTGAGGTAGAGAGTTTCAGAAGACACCTATGAACTCACACAGAACGAAGTGGGCAGAATTAGGAAGTGATTTACAGGATGACAACATTGTTAAAATACAACTTGGAAAGACTTCGGAACTCTGATGCAAGTACTGAAGATGAAACCTTCTTGCCAGAGATGTGACGGGCTTAAACACAGAAGACACATTGGTTTTGGGATGTGACCAACGTGGGCATTTGTTTTGCTGGACAATGCACATTTATGTTTATTTTTTTAATTTAATTTTTACCTTGCTTATTTAGTATTTTCTTTTCCGCCAGTTACATGTAAAAACAATTTTTAACCTTTGTTTTTAAAACTCTGAGTTCCAAATTCTCTCTCTCCCTCCCTCCCCACTCCCCTCATTGAGAAGGCAAGCAAGTCGATATAGTTACACATGTGTAGTCATGCAAAAGGACAACGCATGTTTACGATAAGAGTTTTACTTTTAAAAATTGTTTGATGAGAGGAGGGCAGGGAGACAGGCAGATTATAAATGCTTGCAAAAATAAATGAATATGTAAAAAATACATATAACTACCAAGAATTAAGTGTTCAGACTTACTTGTATCTCCCCCAGTGAAGCTGACAGATCCTTAATTAAAGGGACTTACATTTCTTTCAAAAGCCTTGTAGCTGAGCCAGCTAGGTGGCACAGGGATAGAGCACCGCCCCCGGAGTCAGGAGGAACTGAGTTCAAATCCGGCCTCAGACATTTGACACTTACTAGCTGTGTGACCTTGGGCAAGTCATTTAACCCCACTGCCTAGCCAAAAAAAAACAAAAAACAAAAAACAAAAGCCTTGTAGCCCCAGGGTCATTACCAAGTGCACAGGAGACCTGGAAGACTTGGTGAAGAAAGGAGTGGCTGCTGGGAGCAGAGGAGAGAGACACCAGAAAGGGAAGAAGCTTGCAAGGGAAGTCCCATGCCCATTAGTAGGCCTCCCACTCCTGTGGGTTCCAGGATGCAGGAAAGAGATGCTAATCCATGGGGGGACCGTCAGGGTCATTTCAAAAGGAAGAAATATGTATGAGTTTCTACTTAGCAAGGGACTAAAGCCCCAGAGAAGGAAGCAAGTCCTTGACTTTTAAGGACCAATTATTTGCCATCACTCTATATACAGAGGGGGTCCTTGCTCTCTGAGGTCCTGCAGAGACAGGATTCTTTGTTGAAAGTGGATTTCTGGGTCAATGAACCTGACGCCATTTTGTTCTGTCCAAGCAGATTCTTTTTAATACCTTCTTTCCTCCTCTAATTGATACAGAAAGACTGCACGGCTAACAAAAGGAAGACGTGGTTTCTGGAATGTGTCCCCTCCTTCTCTAAGCTGACCAGGAGTTCCCTTTTGATGTAGTACAACCAGAAGGCCACATCCATTCTCTATCCTCTATAGTTAATGATACAGATTCTCCTTAACAAATATCCCTTTCTCTCTGAATGGCCAGCTGCACCACAATGAGCAGCCATCTTTTTTTTTTGTTCTTTGTTTCATGTAATGTATAATTACCATCAAGGGCTGGTGGGGTGTGTCGTTCTGTGTGTAATAAAGCCCGCCTCTCTGACTTGTGTGGGTTTACTGGCAGTAGCCAGTTGAACCAATAAGAAAGTTCATGTAACCGTCTGGATGTGTGATTTCAGGGGCATAAGGAAGCTCCCTCCTCCCAACGCAGGTCGACAAGGCGGGTTCGAGACCTCCTTCCAACATGGCTCTGGAAGTCTGGCCCTTAGCCCTAAGTTTATCGGGGTATCTCCACAACTGCAGATGAATTATCCTGGTGCGGGCTCTTCCTTTCCGTCTCTCTGTCTGTCTCTCTCCGCCAGAAGCGGAGGAGCCAGTGAATTCCTGATCTGCCTGACGATGATTGATATCGCATGTCAAAAGGTGGAGGAGCCAACGTGGGGAATTCCACTCTGACCGACTAACGGGACAGAAATAGAAGCTGGGGCAGAAACGGTGGGAAGCTGTAGAGAAGGGACCCCTCCCTCTCTGCGTCTGGGACAGAGTAGAGAAAACTGGGCCTCTTCTGACACAAACCCTAAAAGACTGCTAGCATTTACCAAGCACTCTGTTCCTCTCAACAGCTCCGGGATACCGGCGCTATTATTATCTCCATTTTACAGATGAGAAAACTGAGGCTAAAAGAGACTGTGTTCCTTGTCCAGGGTCACCCAGCACATAGACGGTCAGTGCCAGAGGCAGGATTTGAACCCAACACCAAGTCCCTCATTCTACCCAATTCACTCTCCCTGCCATCTTTTGATTTTGGAAAAACGGATTTCAGTGGGTTCTGAGGAAATACAGGCAGACTCCCCCGAGTCAAATAGGACAGGGGAAGTCAGCCGGTGAGAAGGCGACCCTCCGGAATGCCATTCTGAAGAGAGAAGGCAGAGCTGCTCGACTCTTAATTTCCTTCTCTTTTCTGGGTCAAGTCCACCAATCAACAGGCCTTGAATAAATACCTCCCATGGGCCAGACTTGCTGTGAGCACTAGGGATCAAAAACAGAGCCAGCCCTCAAGGAGCTCCCGTTCTACCTTCAAGGGCCAAGGAAAATGACCTCTTCACGGAAAAGGACAGAATGACCATGACCACGCGCTTGACAAATATCATCTGATTAATCGTCACAATAGCCTCGAGGGTGGGGCTGTGACCTCTCGCCTTCCTGACTTGCCTTCAAATCCAGCACTCTGCCCACTGGACCCCCCACCTGCCTGATCCCCCAGGAAGGAGGGAGACGTGGACCCAGCACCCTGGGTGCATTCGGGTCTCCCTGGCCGGCTGACTCCATCCTCGGGTGGTCCGGCAGTCAGCAGCGTTTATCAAGCCTGGCCCACAGCAAGCATTACTTTTCAGTCGCTCATTCAAACGTCCACCGATTGAAGATGTAAAGGGTATATTTAGGCTCGGTCGAAGGATAAACCTAACAATGAGATCATCACGGGAGGGAAGGGCCGCCCCGAAGGGAGTGGGCTCCCCCTCAACAGGGGCCTTCAAAAGCGAGCTGGCTGTGAGAGAGACGGAATCCTCCTTCAGCTACAGGGTGAACTATAGGGCACCGAAGACCCCTTTCTCTGACTCTGTGATTCTAAAATCCCGTCCCACTCACCGGCGCTGGGCTTCCCAGGAATCCCGGGCCCATGTCCTCAGGCTCAAAGCTATACTTGCTGGGAAGGACCAAATCCTCTGCAGGCTGAGCTGGGGAAGGAAAAGAAACCATTAGGGAGAGGGGCCTTCTTTGCACCTCCTGGACAGGAGGCCACCGACGTCCCGAGGCTACCAGACTGCAACCAGCCAGGCATCAGGACTGGGAATGGAGAAGGGCAGGGGTCATGGTACCTGTGGCGGCTACCTGGGCCCTGGCCTTTTCTGACTGGGGCCCAGACACTGCCCCCAGCGAAGGTTCAGGCCTGCAAATGCTACTCACCCCAAGCGATATAAAGTAAGCTAACACGTGGAAAGGGAACCAGAACACCTGGATTTTCATGGGGGCTCATATATGTTAGCTGTGTGATTGCTCCCCAAAAGATACTCCATTTCCTGTCTCCAGGCCCTGAACACGCTCCCACCTCATTCCTTCCTCTCAGAATCCCTAGTGCCCTTCAAGAATCAGCACAAAGCCCTTCCTGATGCCCGCAGTAGCTAACCCTCCCCTGACAACTCACCTCATATCTATCTGCAGCTACCTACATATCCCATGATAGAATGGAAGCTTCCTGAGGGCAAAGGCTATTCCACACTTGTCTCTATATCCCCAACGCCTACTGCAGGGCCTGGCCCATAGAAAACGCTTAACCAAGCCATGTTGGTTGATGACTGAAATCCCAAACCTTCAACTGGGAAACGGTGAAAAGGGGCTAATACTTTCAAGGCTCACTCACAGGGTGGTGGTGAGAACACATCCTGTGAACATTACTGCTCTAGAGGAAGGCAGCTGGAGCTTTTATTTCTGACAGAAACTGGTACCTATGATGTTCCCTGAGTATAGAACTGGGGAGAGAGGCTCAATCCACAGAAGGAAGGAAGCCTCGGGGATCAGGCTCAGAAATTTAAGATGTAACACGCTGAGGCTAGCCCCTCTTTACCCCAAAACGTCTTCCTACGGAGATCAGAGAGGCAGGGAGTGGGCTCCACTTCCCCAGGCTACCAGACCCCAGCTGGCCAGGCACTAATGACTGGGAATGGAGGAGGGCAGGGGTCACGGAGGGCAGGGGTCGTGGTAAGCTTAAGGTCCCTCGGTCCTGGTTAGGTGAGGATGGGGAGTGCTGGGAATCCTCGGTGAGGAGCGGGGAAGGTGAGTACAGACAGCTCAGATTTAGGTGGCAAAACCACCCGTGTTTAAGATGAGGGCAGAGGGATGCTAAGGAAGAATCCCTGGGTCCCAACAGCCAGGCAGGAGTCGTGGATTACCTCGTGTAAAACTCGTCTGTACGTTACTGTTCTGCACTTTGTCTCTCCCATGAGATGGGGATCTTCTTGAGAGGAGAGGCTGGTTTGTTTTTTTTTCCCTTTCCTTTGCATCCCCAGCACTTAGCACAGTGCCTGGCAAATAATATGTGCTTAATAAATGTTGACTTGACATAGGTGCATGGGTCTGGAAGGGTATCTGGACGCAGAGCTGGGAATCAGGACATTTGGGGCCAGAAGAGGGAGCGGGTCACCTAAGTCCAGGCAAGGACACTAGGAGATAAGCTCCTGGATTCCAAGGCGGGAGGTGGGTAGGAGGGCAGGACTCTGGGTCTTGATGGGGCCGCTAGGCATGGGGGGTAAGAGACAAGCATTTATTAATCTTGGCACTATGTGCCAGGCACTGTGCTAATTAAGCACTCTATAGATATCTTATTTGATCTTCACAACAATCTGTTATAATAGCTAAAATGTTATACATTTTAGAGCTGAGAAAACTGAGGCAGACAGAGGCGAGGTGACTTGCTTAAGGTCTCACAACTAGTGTCTGAAGCAGGATTTGAACTCAGGTTTTCCTGATGCTCTATCCTCTGCACCACTTAGCTGCCTCTTAAAAAGGAAAAAGCCTGTATGGGGTAGGATTCCTCAATTCCATTCAACAAACATTTAGTAAGTGTCTGCTATGTGCCGGGCACGATGCCAAGCACCGGGGACACAAATGAAAGAAGGAAAGAGGGTTCCTGCTCTCAGGGAGCTTACAATCTACTAGAAGGCAGCACGGAGGGTGGACAGGGGCGCCTCGATCCAGGGTGCCCGGGGTCTCCGGGTGCGAGAATCAGAAGATGGGGTCCCGGTCCCTGCTCCGGGGGTCCTGGCAGTTCCCTCCCCGGGTAGTGACCCCGAGGTCACTTGAGGATAAGTCTCGCGCTCCCACGATCCCCTCTCCCTCCCCCCCTGCGCCTTCTCTCCGCCTGGGCAGGCAGGGCCCGAGATCAGCCTTGAAGGCCGGGAGAGAGCCTGAGAGCCAGCGACTGCCGAGGGAGGAAGGCGAGGGGCTCTCCCGCAGGGGACGCCCTGCCGAGGTCCAGCCCGGCCCGGGGAAGCCCCTGCCCTCCGGAGTGACCCCGACCGCTCTGCCCTTGGCCCTGGGGCCGGAGGGGGAGGGGCAGCCGGACCCTGGGTCCCTGGGGGGTGTAGTTTTGGGGCGCTCGCGGTCCTTCGTGGGGCTGGAGCTGCAGAAGCCTGGGTTCTTCCGGGGGGAAGGTCCTTCGGGGGCTCGGGACGTTCGGGTCCCTTTGGGAGGGGCCGGGGAGCCTGGGTCCCTTTGGAGGACTGGGGGCTTCTGAATGCCTGGGTTCCCTCGGGGGGTTGGTGGCCTCTGGTCGCTGGGGTCCCTTTGGGGCGAAGGAAGCCCGAGATATTTGGGTCCCTTCAGGGTTCTGGGGGCTCAGGACGTCCAGACACAGCCCACCCGGGAGCCCCTCCGGGAGACTCACCATGGGACAGCTGTGGACACAGGTCACGTGAAAAACGGAGGCGGAAGTGTCACGTAGTGAGGCGCGGGGGCCTCTTGGGAGATGTAGTCCGGAATCGTCTTCAGAGCGGTGCATCTTGGGAGATGCAGTCCGGACTCGTCTTCGGCGCGCGGCGAGGGGAGGTGGGGTGGGGGTGCCTCTTGGGAGATGCAGTCTGGAGGACTCGTCTTCGGCGCGGGGCCTTCTGGGAGTTGTAGTCCAGAATCGTCCTCTGCGTGAGGCCTCTTGGGAGATGTAGTCCGGCATCCTCCTGGGGAAAGGAGTGTGCTGGAGCGCGCTTGGCGGGTGTGCTTCCCGCCGAGGGTCTCCCCAAAGCGCGAGGGGGGAAGAATGGAGCCCCGGTGTGGGGGCAGGCATTTATCTGTTTGCACTCACGACCATGAAAGGCTGCATTTGAACCCACGAACGAACAGCTACTGCGGAGGCCGAGGCTTCGGCGCACTGAAGAAGTGGGTCATCGTGGGCGTCAGCACATGACATCGGGGAACCCCAAGCGCCTGCGCGCTGGGCTCGGGAGTCGGCGTTCCATCTCCCATCTCCGAGCCTTTGCCCAGGCAGCCGCGCCGCTGTCCCCGCGTTACTGTATCTGGGGTCCCATAGCTGCCAGCTGTTGGCCTTTGGCAGGGGCTGAAGGGGGATAGCACCCCCTTCTCGCTGCAGCTCCCCCTCCACGGGCCTCTGTGGCTCCCCCAAAGGATGTGAAGGATTTTCCGAGCCAGTCATGCCGCGCTTCCCAGGTGGCTGGAGTTGTCTTCATTCAAGGCCCACATGAGACTCGGAGGGCTGGTGACGGTCCGAGGAGATGGGCCCCGCTGAATGTCTGGCTTATTAAATGCTCCCTGTGCGCCTATGCCAGCAAAAAGATTGGCGTCCGCTCTCAAGCAGCTTGCATTCTCCTTGGGGGAGGGGAGGGGAAGGACCCGGGCTGGGTGCCCCGGGGGAGAAGGCCCTCCTGGCCACACCTGGCGTCTGGATGCTTCTGGGGCCCAGAAGAGGCGCTCCTCCCTGCACTGTGCGGCCTGGGGGCCCAGCAACCACCCGGGGTGGGAGGGCCTCGTCGCTGCCCCCGGCCTGTCGTGGAGGAAGAAAGTGGCTCTTAAAAGGGCTGATGATGGATGGCGGACGGCTCCTCTTGGAATCCCCCCACCCCCCGTGGAGCTGCAGGCGGGACACGCGGGGCGGCTGGGAGGCACCCGGACCCTTCCCATCCCGATTCTGGAAGCAGTGACCCGTGAGGCCGTTCCAGGGGGTCCGGTGGGAGGTGAGAAGCGGTGAGTTAAGGCGGGGGGTCTGAGTGGACCCGGGGAGATGCGGAGGGAAGCGCAAGGCCGAGGGCCGGACGCAGTATGGAGCAACTAGGTGAAGAGGCTTCTGGCCCGGGAGAGTCGATGTGGGCTCAGGGATGAAGCCTCTATCCTCACCTGGTTGGTTTTGTTTTTTTGTCCCCGTTGTTGCTGAACACAGAATGAGGGGGCGCAGCAGACGAGGAGGAGCTCTCTGGGCAGACTCGGCCTCACGCCTCCTTCTGATCACCCCCCGGGCCCCACGGGAACGAGAGAATGCTGGAGGAGAGACCCCAGGCCCGGACTCGCCAGGTGCGCCAGGTGGAGTGCCGGAGCCTCTGGGCCCTGACCTAAGGCCCCTCAGCGTGATGGAGACCCCGAATACCAGTCCTTCTTAGCTCCCGTTAGAGGCCTGGGAACGTGTATTCATAGGGTCAACGTGGAGAGGTGATACGGGATAATGAAGAGCGATGGATGTGATGACCTCAGTTCAGATCCCGGCTCTGCTGCGGTAGCTGTGTGACCTCAGCTGACACGCTTCACTCCTCTGGGAGTCGGTTTTCTCAGGAGTAAAAGGAGGGTGTTGGACCAAAAGACCACCATGGCCTCTTCCAGCTCTAAAGCCATCAGTCTAATTCTTATGAATTTGTAAACTAGTTATCGCGAGCCTGCTGTGGGCACGGCCTCAGCTCTGTGCGGGAGCGTAAAGACAAAGCCCTCAAAGGGCTTACTCCAGAATAGGAGACGTGAGACGAGTACTAAATAAGTAAGGTGCAGAGCAGGATGTGGTAAGAACTCTCGTCCGAGGGTAGGGCCGGCCCCTAATGCAGGCTCTGTAAGGGGTGACACTTGCCATGTGCCCTAGGTGGAGATGGCCGGTCTACCATGGGGCGTTGGAGTGGCGTCTAGAGCGGGATGTAAGGGGGCAGATCCGCTGTGCCCTAATTGTGCCAGTTGTAGGGTGCCATACCCTCCAGGAGAATAGTGAGACACCAAAGAGCGAAGGGCTCCTAAGAGCTTGGCTATGAATAGGTTTTATTAGAGTTAAATAGGTTGATAGGGTTGTTTAAGGGAGTTTACTCACAGGATCAGTCGTCATGGGTGGCAACAGGACAAAATAACATTGTGGATCCCTGCACCAACCCCAGGCCAGGTGTTGCATAAACGCAGAACAAAGAAGGCGTAGTGCCAGAGATGGTCTCGGGTCATATGCAAGCGTCCCCATGGAATAGTTGGAGCTGGTTTTGCTGTTTATGTTTACTCAAGGTAGTTTACATTCTCTAAGACTCGAGGTCATGTTCCTAGGCTCTGGCTACCACTATACCACCCCTCATGACCTGCTTATATAATCTTTCTGATAGTATCTTTCACAAAGTTTCCTGAGTAATACACAAGTGGGTTTGTTGACGTGAAGGAAGCAATCCACAGCAGCAATACCAGCTCAATAGGAAAACAACGTGACCAATAAGAAAAGCACCACAATTGTTCCAATTTCCTTCCATCCCACCCCTAGGGAGGTGAAAGAAAAATCAGTGGCCTTTGATGATTAGTGGCAGAACTGAACCTCCGTGAAGGCCAGATGAATTTCTGGAGCAAGTTCAGGGACAAAGAAACATGGCTTGGGCAATTTTACAACGTATTGGGGTGACACAGAATGTTACAAGAATCGATTACAAAATGGAATCACAATCACTTGATTTTTCTCAATTTTCCCTTTTTTGTCAATGGGAAACGTCATCATTTTTCCTGGTAAGTTAATGTAAGAACAACCAGAATGATTAATCATAGTATAAACCATAGTAAGACTACATAAAACCATGGACTAATTTCAGAGGGGAGATTTACACGTCACCAAGATAACTGAGAGAACTCAGTACACAGGTAGAGTAAAGCAAAAAGCCAAAATAGTACAATAAGAGCCATCAACCCATTCTCAATGTCCATTTAATCAGCACATTTCATCTTGGATCTCAAATGTACCATGTAGTTGTCTGGTCTCCGGAAACATCTTTTCTTGGTCATTCTAGGATAGGTCTCTTCTTTAGTAGTTTTACTTCTCTGGTTCCAAGTTATTTGGAGAGACTCTTTAGATGTTCCTGCTAAAATCTTTCACAAAACAGATCTCAATACAAGTTAGTATAGCCTCTCAAATTTGATTTCTCCAGTAACTAGTTCATGTGGTGAAAACAACCGGAACCTTGTGGCTCTGATGTTATCAACACAAGTGCTGGAAGGGCAACATCAAATTAGGAACCCGTAATTCACTTGAAACTTTGGAGAATTTAGGGTTTCACATGCACCGTTAGAATCATTTACATTTGACGTGTGATTGTCTGATCTTGTTGCTTTCTCAAAAATTTTCCAATTAATTTCGGTTCCTTTAGGAAGGTCCGATGCTATTGAGGATCTAATCCTATATATGAAAATATAGGTAACAACAGTTTTGGTAGGTAGAGACTTTCCACCCCTAGGTTCACAGATGAATTTTCTTTTTTTTCCTTTTTTTTTTTAATAGGATGGACGTACATTTTCATGTATTTTATGGACATACAATAAATATGAAATATACAGAAAATTTAAAACAAAATTTACATCAATTACTTTATACAATTCATTAGAAAACTTACATTTTCTTTACATTTATTTCACAGGAATTGGTATAGATGTAAAAATATTTTGAGTATCAGAGCCCATCTTTCCCAATTTAACAATTAAACTCTACAAAAAGTGGTTATTTCAAACTACGCAAACATCCTCCAATTTTTTTAAACTTTTGATTCAGTTATACCATAAAAACTAGAAATGAGGCATTTCAAAAGTTTTATGTTCTATCTGCATTTTAATTTCAAATGTCAGTTTCTTAACATTTTTACTTTATTAAAAATTATGGGGGAAAAGAGTCAGAAAATCAAAAGTTGTAATGAGTGTTGGGTAAAAACCAGTTTTAAATCACTTACACCAAATAAGAACGCACCAGAAAGAATTGTGCAATGATGAATCTATCCTTAACAGTATTTCACTACAGGTACCTGACTGGGTCTGTTCTTTTTCTAATGACTGTCATGTAAATTACTCATCTGCATAAGCCCACTCATTACTGAATAGAGAAAGATCAGATCAAATATTAAAACATCCTACAATTTGAATATTATTTGTTAAATGTCTTAGCATATATTTCATTTGCAGATCTGTCTTGGGTCAATATAGTGGTTGCCTTTGTAATCAAATTGTTGCATGTTTTAACAAATGAATTTTCTTACAAGAGGCTGACCTTACTCCAGTTGTAACAAAAGACCTTGAAGGAGATGTATGGATACACTTAAGTAAAAATTCCCAGTTGTATACAGAGAACAGTGTATATCAGGTTAGTTGCCTGTAGCAGAACATGTTCAGTTGATAACCATATTCAACAGGAATAGATGTTACACAAATGTTATTCTCCACTAAGATGACTGATTGAAATGAAATTCTATTCCTTAAAATAAAATAGAAGAGGTTTCTGACTTTAACCTTATAAATTAATAGATTCATATCTTTGTCTCACCAACTTTTTAACCTTTGTCCAATTACTCTCATAGCATTCTGAAAAAAAAATGAGATGTTTCAGGGATTTAATCTTATATATGACCATATAACTATTAGCAGGTAGATGACAAAACCCAAGTACTAATTTGTTTAGTTGTTTGGAATATGGAATGACTACACATTCAGATTGAAAACAGTAAGATGCTACATACTTGCATTGTATTCATATCTTCTACTGACCACCTGCCCTGTTTATAGAAACTTGCTATAAAAGGAAAAAGCATGAAAATGATCATAACATCAAAACTGGTACTTCAGGCCTAAGCGTAAAGGCACAGAATGACTCAACACAGGTATGCTAGGATAAAACATCCTTAGCTCTGTTTGATTCCAGGTAAGAGTCACAGTTGAAAACCAATCATGCAGTGAAAATTCCACCTCATAGCCAGACTAAGGTATAATCAGGTTGGAAACATTCCTGTTCAAAAGGAAGTAACCCAATGGGGGAACTGAGTCAGGAGAGTTCTAACTTTGGCTCTGCCAAGGTCATCCTCTTGGCCTTTCCCAGATAAGACCTCCACCTGTAACAATTCAGGATTACACTCCCTCTGAGTATCTTACGGCATTTCTTTTGAATGGTAGATTACTGACTTAATGACCCATCAGACAAATATCCCTGAATTTGAAACTTAAAACAAGATCGGTTACAGTCCCAAATGACAAGTTTCACTCATCACAACTTAGGGTCGAATTCAGTTATTTTTCACTCATGGTGTTGCAATGATCAATAAAAGTTTACCGGGACTCCCACACACATAAGAGATTTCACTAAACATCCTTAACTTGTTTTTCTTTTCTTCTCCAAATTTAAACTCATCCTGGTGTAAAGATCACTAATTAGAAATTACTTCTATAAACAAACTTGTAAATTCTCAGTAATCTGATTTCACTGTGTAGAAATTCCATAGCCACTAAGTGGCTCTTTTTCCCAGGGCTGATGGCCTTGCCCAAACAAGTGGTTTCAAGAAGCCTTGCAAGTTATAGATAAAGAGGATTCTAAAAGGTCTTTTCTTTGTGCCTTTTCCTCACACAGTAATTAACAATTTGTTCTTTTTTGCTCATAATTTTCTAGTCCTCACCAAGTCTTATACTCATTAGTGGACCTAACTGATAGGATTCTTCCCAATGTAATACAGCTCATCTATCTGGGAGTTCTCAGGAGGGCTCGGGCTTGCCCCTTCTGCTCCCTTAAATAAATTTCTCTTTTTGTAGGGAGAAAGCAAGACAGTTCTTGAAATTCAAATTGAACATAATGTATTATGAAAATGAGTAGGAATCTCACATAATTTATAGCAAAGTTTCTGATTTCAACACAAATCAATTTTAAAAGTTATTTTTAAATTGAGCAGTATTTAACTTTAGTTTGTCAGACTGCCTTAATATCTAACTAGATGTTCCAATCAAACTCACTTTTTGGTTGTTTCCCAATTAATACAAACTTTCTCTCTCTCTCTCTCTCTCTCTCTCTCTCTCTCTCTCTCTCTCTCTCTCTCTCTCTCTCTCTCTCTCTCTCTCTCTCTCTCTCTCTCTCTGTCTCTCTGTCTCTCTCTCTCTCCAGGAAAGAATTAATAATATAAGCAGGCAGTTTTAAAGTACCAGGTCTAGTTTTTTTTTTCCTCTGAAACTTCACTGATTACTACTGTAATCAGGGTGGGAGGGAAATGCTCTTAATTCCCTTAAAACAAATTCTAAAGAATATTAACCGAATTACTTGCTAGCATTTATTTTCAACATTTATAAAAAACATTCAAACCATTATATGGGTCTGAGGGGAAAAGGTTTCTCTTCTTTTTTTTTTTCCTCATCTGTCTTACATTCCAGAACCTGGCCACTATTTAGGAATGTAAAGGAAGAGAAAGAATCTTTCTGAAAACTTATAGGGATTCACATTAGTTAACAAGACGGAGAGATTTGCCAGCAAAGTTTTTTTCCTCTGTGCACACAATTACAGACTGTGAGAGACAAACAGGGACAAAAAAAAAAACCACAACTAAAACAAACAAAAAAACAACAGACTGGAAACTATGAGACAGTGGCATCAATATTAAAAATTACCTCTCCTTGCCTTACTAGATATCTCCAGAAGCTATGCTGTCATACACACACATATAAATACATACAGCTTAAAAAATTATTACCCTCTTAAAGCTGCACCTGTCTTGTTTCTTGCGTATTCTGATCTGACACTTCCTTTATTAATCATAGCCCAAATAATCTTCATTCACTGAGTTTTTGCTTCTCTGCCTCTCTCTTGTCTGTGTGATGCATACAGTCAGAAGGGAGGAGGAGGAGAGACAGAGAGGAAGAGAAAGAGGGAGGGAGGGAGAGAGAAAGACTCTGGTTTTTTTTTATCCTATCATAATTAGAGCAATTGCAATTTCAAAGTCTTTCTTAACAGCTCTGAAAGTTCTTATCTTTACATAGGCTGTAAATCTTCCATTAAGTAAGACGAACAGCAGGCATCCTATGAGATTCTTCTCTCCTGCCCCACCCTCCCCTGGAAGCCTATCACAGCACAAGCCAATGTGCATTTTCTGGACATTCTTGTATTCTTGCAGCTCAGGCCACCCCTCTGACATACATTTGGAAGTGGGTGGCCAAGCTGGGTTTCCCCTCTGGCAAACATACCAACTGTCCCTCAGGGATGAGAATGGCCAGGATTTCGCCTGTGGAAGAAACTCTGCAAGTCCATTTATTTGGTATCCTGCCAACTATGCCACATTTAAGGGGGTAGATCTGTTCTGCCCAAATATGCCAATTGTAAGGTGGCATATCCTCCAAGAGAATATTGAGATACCAAAGAAAGAGGGGCTCATACTGACTTGGTTATTAATCTATTTTATTAGGATTGATTAGGGGAGTGCACCCACAAGAGGCCAGTCGTCCTGGGTGGTAGCAGGACAAAGTAACATTGTAGATCCCTGCACCAGCCTTGGACCAGACCAGATATTCTAGAGAAACAGAGCAAAGAAGGCATATTGCCAGGGATGGCCCAGGATCACATGCAAACTTTCCCATGGGATAGTCGGAGCTTCTTTTGCTATATACATTTACTCAAGGTAGTTTACATTGTCTGTAAGACTCAAGGTCGTGTTTTTGACTCTGGCTACCACTGTATACAGGGGGAAAGAATAGAAAAACTCCTCGTGTATGGAATTGAGTCCTTAAAATGGGGCAGAGGCAGGAGGGAGGAAGTCTCTATCAGTCAGGAACTCAGGCAAGAGGTGAATAAATGAAGCAAGGTGGGTTTAGCTAGTGAGCGATAACCCCTGGAAGATCCCAAGGATGGCCAGAACCTAGAGAGTGAAGAGAACAAAATCCTTGCTTACTGTGCTTTGAAATTTAAGGGCTGATTCTGAAGGTTAATATTCCATTAAGAGCAGTGGGAAAAGTGAGGAGGACGACTTAACTAGTGCAGTCAGGGAAGGGGCAGGTCTCACCAAGATATTAAATTATAGCTATTTGTGGCTAATGTAGTCGTTTTGTCCAGTATTTCTCATGCCCCTGGAAGAGCCTCTGGGGCAAAGTTCCTGGCTCTAGAACCTGCTTTATTCTTTAACCTTTCTAGTGCGTTCCTTTCTGGCCTTAGCAGGATCACATAGCACTTGGGAATAAAGATGCAACTCAGTAACCCAGCACTGGAGGCCAAGATGGCAAAGACCTTCATGGCCACCATGGCCTTCCCCTTGGAACTCTGGTATGTGGGGAGGAAAGAGACCCACACACTGCAGAAGACCAGCATGCTAAAGGTGATGAACTTGGCTTCATTAAAGGTGTCAGGAAGGTTCCTGACCAGGAAAGCCATTATGAAGCTGCCCAGGGCTAGGATGCCAGTGTAGCCCAGGACACAGTAGAAGGCAATGACAGAGCCCTCCTTACACTCAGTGATGATGTGGCCAGGTCCAGAGTGAATGTCTGTACCTAAGAAGGGAGGTGAGGTCCCCAGCCAGATCCCACAGAGAATCACTTGGATCACAGAGCAGAGGAAGACTAGAGAATTGGACACCTTAGGCTGCACCCACATCTTCAACCTGCTTCCTGGTCTTGTGACCTTAAAAGCCAGAACCACCGTGATGGTTTTGGCCAAAATAGAAGAAACTGCCACTGTGAAAACGACTCCAAATATTGTTTGCTGAAGAAGGCAGGTTGCTGTGGTAGGATGGCCAATGAAAAGCAAAGAACAGAGGAAGCAAAAGATGAGAGAGATGAGAAGTGTGTAGCTGAGAACCTGGTTGTTGGCCTTGACAATGGGAGTATCTTGATGCTTCACAAAGATAATGAGGATCAGCACTGTGAGGAGAGACAAGGAGAGAGCCATGCAGGTCAGAGTCCATCCCAAAGGTTCTTGGACACTGAGGAAGGTCACTACCTTTGGGAGGCACTGGTCTTCTTGTTTGGATATTGATCTTCTGGGCACTTCACACAATTGTCCGTATCTGCAATTTAGTAACCAATTAAGCAATTATTAAGAATCCACTCTGTCCAAGACCCTGTACCAGGCAGTGGGGAAATAAAATAATAATAATAAAAAGACAACAGTCCCTGTCTTCAGAGACCCTGTGCTCTTTTTACTGGTGAGATGAAACATGTACACAAATGAGTAAACTAAAGGTAATTTGATGAGAGAATCAGCTGGAGGAGGTTTAATAAAAGGAAGATTACATGAACCTTGAAGGAAGCTATGGATGTCAGCAGACAGAAATGGGAAGCATTGTGTTCCAGGAATGAGGCAGAGCCTGTGCAGAGTTACAGAGGCAAGGGATAGAATGTGAAATTCGAAGAATTTGCTAGTAGTCAAATTTGAATGAAAAAAAGATCCCAAGAAGGAGACTAATGTGGGATAAGGGTTGAGAGCAGTTTGGATCCAAATTGTAAAAGAACTTTGAACACTAAGCTAAAGAGTTTACATTTTATCCTAAATGTAATACGTCAACTGCTTGTCAGCAAAGAGATGACATGGTCAAAAGTGTGACTTGGGAAGGTTATTTTAGCGTCTTTGGAAAGGGTAAACTTGAAAGAGGGAGAGCAAGAAGACCAGATAGGGCATATTACTAAGACTGGGTGAGAGATGAGAAAAGCCTGAGCTAGAATCATGGCCATTTCCGTGGAGAGAAGAGGATGGGTAAGAGAACAACAGCAAGGACAACAACAACATTAAGAAATTCTTTTCTAAAAGTACACGAGGAGACAAGGGCAAATGGAGAAGTCAGATAGAAATTGGGTCTTTTGCCCTCATCAAATCGCTTTCGGTTCGTTCATTTTTGTATATGTTGCATCTCAGAGTAGAATGAATACAAGATCTTCATCTATGCTAAAAACTCCTACAAAGTATAGGCAGAAATAATTTCGTATTAATATAAAAATGTATATCTAAAACAAAAAAACAAACATCATTGGCAATGGGGATACTCTAGAACCTTTGTCAAAAATATGTGAGTAAAGTAAGGATGCCCACTCTCCCCACTATTGTTTGGTATAGTTCTAACAATAGTAGGAATAGCAATATGATGAGAAAGAAATTAAAGGCATAAAGAGAGGTAAAGAGAAAATAAAGCTATCCCTATTTGCTAATGACATGATGGTTTACTTAGAAAACCCTAGGGAATCATTAAGCATACTAGAAATAAATGACGAATAACTTAAGTAACTAGAGGAATATCCAGTGCTCATGGCTGGGCTATGCCATGATAATGAAAATGACAGCCGAAGTTAATTTACATTTGTAATGCTATGCCAATCAAATTATCAAAGAAGTATTTTACAGGAACCATTAAAATAGTAAAATGGAAAAACTGAAGATCTAAAATAATGAAAAGAGGTAGGGTTGAAGGGATGTAGTGGTAATGAGCAAATTAACTTAGCATGAACAACTCTTACTTATTTTAAGCCTCTACTTTGTGGCCAGTTGGTTGTTACATAAACTGCTTTTCTGTAGTAAGATAAGCACCTGACGGGCATGGTTTGGCAATGATATGTGTATATCCCTTCCTAATCTGGTAAACAACTACTAATGACTGTCTTTCTTTTGATTAATTGTATCCCCAGCACTTAGCACAGTGCTTGGCACATAAGAGTTGCTTAATAAATGTTTATTGGGTTGGATGTGTGTCTCCCAAAACTGTTAAGTGCCCCTTAATAACATGTGTGTTGCAAATGTTATTAATAACTGATAAACAATTGCTAATGATGTTAACTTTTATGGTTTCCTTTCATCAAAAAGATTAGATAATAAACCACCAATCAGAACTTAGATGTAGCTTCTAAATGCCCTGGTTAGAACCATAGAAACTGACAGGAAGCCGCAAATATTAGCCTAATCATGACTTATGTCTAGGACAGATTCCTGTGCTCCTTGCACTTAGAAACTTGAGCATCGTATGTCTATCAAAGATAGAATATGTGTGTATGTGTATAATATATATGTGTACACACATGCATAATAAAATAAACACATACAAAAATAAATATATATATACACATAGAATTTATTAATACACACACATATTCTATTTTTTGTGTGTGTATAATATATATGTATACACACATAATAAAATAAACACACATATTAAAACAAATACATATGCACATACACATAGAATTTATTAATACACACACACATATGTGTATACATATATATATATATACAAAAGAACCTTTTCCCAGTAGATGAGTGGTCAAAGGATAAGAACAATCAGTTCTTTAAAAGAATTGCAAACTATTTTCATGCAAACATGAAAAAGTGCTCCAAATCATTAATAATGAAAAAAAATACAAATCAAAACGACCCTGAGATTCATCTCACCCACTGTAAATTGGCATGGGTGATAAAAGATGAGAATAGTCAATGTTGGAGAGGTTGTGGGAGGGTAGGCACACTAATGCATTGTTGGTAGAGCAGGAAATAAATCATTTTGGAAAACAATTTAGGATTATGTGAATAAAGTGACTAAAATTTCCGTACCCTCTGACATAGAGATCTCATTACTAGGCTAATACCCCAAGGAGGCCATTCATAAGAAGTCCTAATACACCAAAAGACTTCTAGCAGCACTTTTTGTGGTATCAAATAATTAGAAACAAAATAGATAGATAGATGCCTATTGATTGGGAAATATCTATACGATTTTTTGGCACATTAACATAATGGAATATTACAGTACTATAAGAAACAAATGTGGAAGATGGAGAAGTAGCAAGAAACAATGCACCTGACCTCTACTTATTCCCCCTTTCCAGACTGAACCCTGAAGGTGCAATCTAAGAAAAAGTCACTAAGTCATTTTTTTTCTAGCTTACTGGCATAGGGCAATGAACAGGAGGCCAGCAGACATTGGGGATGGGATCTAGTCAGGAGTGTACCATGTGGAGCATCGTGTAGGGAGATTCTGGGTACCAGGGCAAGAGGAGTTCCCAGGCCTATGCCAGGGCACCCCAAACCCCTAAGGGAGCCCTGTGCAGGAATAGATGCCAACTGGCAGCTTTGTCACCAACTACTGAGTTCCAAGTCACAGCTCCAGGGTGGAGTACAGAAGGGAACCTACACCCAGGGGGTGGCATTCCAGGATAAAGACATCTCATTGGTCACAATTTCAGGGAAATAATTTTGGCAGCAATGCAACCCTAGGAGCAAATTGGGGCCTAGTCCCAGTTTCTAACCTAGTCTGTAGCCTGAAGAGGAATAACCAGGGCAACAACCCTAGGCCAAAGGGGAACCTGTAGAACTCAGAATCAAGTTTCCTAGCTGGCTGATTGTGGCTAGGTTAAACTTTAGTCAAACTCAGATCAGAGACTTCCACAGCTCAGACCATAGGAGCGGCAATCGGCCTTGGATACACTTACTTTGGGAGCTTTGAAAGCCTACTGGTCCCCAAGATGAGCTCTCCCTGTGATCCTGGCATAACACAACACTCTACCCCAAGAAAACAGCAATAGGACCAGACAAGACCTCCTCCCCAGAATTGTGAAGAGCCAAGCCCTAAAATCAAGTCCAAATTCAGAGAGTAGGCTAAAAGAATAAGCAAGAAAATAAAATAATCCCACCATTAAAAAACTATTATGGCAACAGGAAAACTCAACATGCAACCCCAGAAAAAGAGAATAACTCCAAAATATCTAGAAGCAAAGCCTTAAAGAAAAACATTGTGGTTTACCGTACCCTCTGTCAATTAGCAATGGTGATAAAGGATAAGAAGAATCAATGTTGGAGAGATTAGGAACAATTTCAAATAGAATTTCTGGAAGAGATTAAGCAAGATTTTTTTAAAAAGTTTTTTTTCAATGAACTAGGAGTGCTAGAGGGAAAAAAATGGAAAAGAAATGAGAGTTGTAGAAAAAAGAATTAGAAAGGCAATAAACTGCTTGGCAAAAGAGGTACAAAATCTTGCCCAAGTGACAACTCCCCTGAAAATTATAACAGACCAAATGGAAGCCAATGAATCCATGAGGCAAGAAGAAATCTTAAAACTAAGTCAAGAGACTGAAAAAATGGAGGAAAAATGTTAAGTGTATATTAGCACAAACAGCTGACCTAGGAAACAGATGAAGGAAAATATGTAAGAATCATTGGAGTATCTGAATGCCATGAGCACAAAAAAGAAGTGTAAACCTCTTATTTCAAGAAATTTTAAATGAAAAATTGTTCAGATCTCTTAGAACAAGAGGACAAAGTAGAAACAGAAAGAATCCACTGATCATCTCCTGAAAGAAATGAAAATTTCCACAAGCATTGTAGCAAAACTTTAGAGCTTCTGGATCAAGGAAAAAATACTACAAGGAGCCAGAAAGAAAGAATTTAAGTACTGAAGAGCCACAGTAAGGATCATACATGATTTAGCAGCCACCACTATAAAGGAATGGAGAACTTGGAATACATTATTCCCAGAAAGAAGTGAACTAGGAGAAAGCAGTGTTATGGAAGACAAGGGAGGTGACAGTTTTCTAGCAGGTTTGGGGTGGGAAGGGGTTGATTGTCCAAAACTGCAGAAAGGTCAAAAGAATTAGGATTGAGAAAAGGCCATTAGAAGTAGCAGGGGGAACCATTGCTAATCTTTGAGAAATCAGTTTCAATAGTGTAGTGGGATCAGGAACCTGATGGTAATTAATTAGAGGCAGCAGCTTGTCAAGAGAGATATAGAATGATAGCTTGAGGGGATGGCAGAGTCATGTGAAGTTATGGTTTTTTTTAAGGATGGGTTAGAACAGGGCATATCTGTTAGCCATAGGGGAGGAGCTAGTAGAAAAAGGAGATCTCTTACCAATGGATCAGTGGTTAAAGGATATAAGCAAACCAGTTCACAGAGGAAGAAATCAAAGCTATCAACAAATGAGAGTAAAAGCTCCATATCATTAATATTAAGAGAAGCACAAATCAGAGTTACCCTGAGGCTCCACATCACACCAAAATCACTACTTTCATGACCTTCCCTATTTCTACTGAGGGCATCACCATTCTTCCAGTCTCCCAGGTTTGCAACTCAGCATTATGCCGAAACACTTACCCCTCTGGTTGGAAATCTCTCCCTCTGAGCACTGGGCACAGTCAAAGCAGCAGATAGGCTGTCCCTCCTGGGCAATTTTCCTGAATCCAGAGACACAGTGCTCAGTGCACACAGCCTGGAGGATCTAGGCAGCAAGTGAAGAGAGTACATCAGAGCCTGGCTCTGTCCTGAAGAATGAGAGTTTTGCTGCTGTGTGAGAATTAATGATACTGGTTTAAAGTGGGAAAAGATGTTCATGATAGGGATTCTTATAGAAGTTGTTTTGGATTTTTATTCATCTTTTTGTTACCTATCCTTGACAATAAAGATGCTTTTAAAAAGTTATATCCTTGATACCTAGCACAGGGACATACACATAGTAATCAATCAACAAACATTTACCAAGGAGCCAAGATAGTGGAGGAGAGGCAGCAACTCAGCTGAACTCTCCAAGCAACTTTAAAATAATGTCTCAAATTGAATTCTGGATTGACAGACCCAACAAAAGGTCAGAGTGAGACATTTTTCTGGTTGAAAACAACTCAGGAAGTCGACAGGAGAAGTTTATGACACTGGGGTGGTGGTCACCCTAGAGCACAGTACATGCCATGACAACAGCAGCAGTGGGAAAGTTGAAGGCAGTTGGAGGCAGTTGAAACAGCAACAGCAGCACCTTCAGGAACTCTCATCCCACAGATGGCAAAGGGTTCAGACAAATGCTCTGAAAAAGATTATGAGGATTCTTTGCTTGTACTTTGTGCAGGACCCTGTTGCATTGGCAGTATGAAGCCCTATGTCATAGTTCCAGAGCAAATAGCAGCACCAGTGCTTGTGTCTGCAGGGGAGCAGGGGCCCTGGTTACAGTTCTACGGTGAACAAGAGTGCTTGTGGTCACTCACAAGGGAGCAAGAGCCCTGACATTAGTTTCAAGACAGAAAGCACTAGAACTTTCAGCTGCAGGAGAGCAGAGAACCTGGTCACAGTACTAGGACCAAGGGGATCACTAGCACTTATGGCTGCAGGGGAACAAGATCTTTCCCTAAGTGAAGATCAGAGCACAAGCAAGGAGAGCAATGACCACACCTCTCCTTGGATCATACCCCCTGGAAACCACTGAAAACTTACAACCCCCTGGAACTAGCTCTAAAAAGAACAGCATGAAAAACATGAAGTTTGGGACAGTGCCCCCTCTACTCCAGGAGGGAGCCCAACTTTACCATGAAGTTAAAAGTCAAGTAATAGGCTGAAAAAATGAGCATGACCATAAGAATCTACTATGATGACAGGTCAAAACACAAACTCAGAAGGCAGCAATGTCAAAGCAGCTACAACTAAAACCTCTAAGAAAAAATGTGAATTGAACACAGGCTCAACAAAAATTCCTGGAACAGCTCAAAAAGGACTTTAAAAATCAAATAAGGGGGGTAGAGGGGAAAAATTAGAAAAGAAATGAGAGTAACACAAGAAAATTGTGAAAATAGAGTAAACAACTTGGTAAAAGGCACAAAACATACCAAAGAAAATAACACTTTAAAAATAATAGGCCAAATTGGAGGGGGGGGGGGGAGGGACAGAAATCCATTTAAGAGGACTACTTAAAAACCAGAATTGGCCAAATGGAAAAAAAAGAGGTACAAAAATTCACTGAAGAAAATAATTTCTGAAAAATTAGATTTAGGCAAGTGGAAGCTAATGACTCCATGAGACATCAAGAAATAATAAAACAAAGTCAAAAGAATGAAAAAAAAAGACAATTCGAAATGTCTCACCAGAAAAACAACTGACTTTGAAAATAAATCAAGGAGAGATAATTTAAGAATTATTAGACTACCTTAACACCATGATAAAAAAGCCTAGATATCATATTTCAAGAAATTATCAAGGAAAATTGACCTGATATTCTAGAATCAGAAGATAAAAGAGAAATTGAAAGAATCCACTGATCATCTCATGAAAGAGATCCCCAAATGAAAACTCCCAGGAATAGTATAGCCATATTCCAGAGCTCCAGGACAAGTAGAAAATATTGCAAGCAGCCAGAAAAAATTCAAATATTGTAGAGCCACAGTCAGGATCACCCAAGATTTAGCAGCTTCCAGATTAAAGGAGTAGAGGGCTTGAATTATGATATTCTAGAAAGTGAAGCTAGGATTCTGACCAAGAATCACCTACTCAGCAAAACTGAGTATAGTATTTCAGGGGTAAAATGGATATTTAATGAAATCAAGAACTTTAAAGCATTTCTGATGAAAATGCCAAAGCTGGAAAGAAAATTTGAATTTCAAATACAGTGCTCAAGAGAAACATAAAAAAGTAAACTGGAAAGAAAAATCATAAGGGAATCAATAAGGTTAAAATGTTTAAATTCCCATATGGGAAGATGATTGTTGTTGTTATTGTTCATCTTTCATTTTCCAAGAGGACTAGTGACATCATGGGTGATGTCTTGCCTTGCCTGTAAACTGGATTTAAATGAGGTAGAATTGCACAATGTTGTCAGCCACACTGTCTCTTCCAAAGTCATCAAAGTCCAGTGGCAGGGCAAAAGTCAAGATAACTGGTGATGGCTCAAGATGGAAGACCTTGGTACCTTAGATGTCTGACAAAGTTGCAAGTATTCTACAGCACTTGCTTCAGCTGCCTTCATGGGCATTGATACAAATTGTTCTCATCTGCCCACTTTATGGGGGAAGTCTTCACATGCTTGGGGTAGACATTCCCCTAACTCACCAGTAGGTTTGAGGGAAGATAATACTTGTATCTCTTAAGAACTTTATCATTATTAGGGCAGTTAGAAGGGGGTATACACAGACAGAGGGCACAGGTATGAAGTTGACTCTGAAGGGATGATCTAAAAAAATGAAGGGTTGAGAAAGAGGCATGCCCTGGGAAAAGGGAGAAGAGAGGGAGAATGGGGGAAATTATCTTACATAAAACAGGCATACAAGGAAGAGCTTTTACAATGAAAGGGAAAATGGCAGGGGTGGCAGGCAACACTTGAACTTACTTCCAATGAAATTGATTCAAAGAGTGAATAATAACATACACACTTGGTTATAGAAATCTATCTTACCAAATGGAAGTGGGAGGGGAAGTGGAGAAGAGGTGGGATGATGTAAGGGAGGGTAGATTAAAGCAGTCAGTGGTCAGAAGCAAAACAGATCTTTGAAGAGGACAGGCGAAAGAAAGAGGGAGAGGGAGAGAAAAAGAGAGAGAGGGAGAGAGAGAGAGAGAGAGAGAGAGAGAGAGAGAGAGAGAGAGAGAGAAATAGGATAAAGGGAAATACACTGTTGTAATCATAATTATGAATGTAAACCTTTCCAGGTTTTTCTGAAATCATCTTGCTCGTCATTTCTTATAGCACAATAGTGTTCTATCAAAATCATGTAATACAACTTGTTCAACTATTCCCCAACTGATGGGCATTCACTTGATTTTCAATTCTTTACCACCACAAAAAGAGCTGCTATAAATATTTTTTGTAATATAGGTCCTTTCCCATTTACTTTGATCTTTTTGGAATACAGACCTAGTAGTGGTATTTCTGGGTTGAAGGGTCATGCACAGTTTTACAGCCCTTTGTGCATTTTTGTTCCAAAATGCTTTCCAGAATTGTTGGTTCAGTTCACAACTCCACCAACAGTGCTTTAAGTGCCCCAGTTTTTCTATATCCACCCCCCAGCATGTGTCATTTTTTCCCCTGTCATATTAGCCAATATGATAGGTGTAAGGTGGTTGTTGTTCAGTCATTTCAGTCGTGTCTGACTCTTTTTGACTCCATTTGGGATTTTCTTGGCAAAGATACTGGAGTTTGCAATTTCCTTCTCCAGCTCATTTTATAGATGAGGAAACAGAGGCAAAGAGGGTTAAATGACTTACTCAGTTAGTGTCTGAGGCCAAATTTGAACTCAGAAAGGTGAGTCTTCCTGACTCCAGGCTTGGCAATTTATCCTTTGAGTCATCTAGCTTCTGAAGTGTTACCTCAGGGTTGTTTTAATTCTCATTTCTCTAATCAATAATGATATAAAGCATTTTTTATATGACTATAGATAACTTTTATTTTTTTTCCTCTGAAAACTGCCTCTTCATATCCTTTGGCTATTTATCAATTGGGGAATGACTTGTATTCTTATGAATTTGACTCAGTTCTCTATATATTTGAGAAATGAGGCCCTTATTAGAGAAATTTGCTGTAAATTTTTTCCCAGTTATGATTATTGTGTGTGTTTTGCCATCCTGTTCCCCTCCCCTATTGTTTATCTTTTTCGGTTCTTTCACTCTGACTGTTTTCAAAAGTGTATTGTAGGCCAAGCCAATATGATAATTCTACCTAAATTAATTGACTTTTTCAGTGCCATACCAATCAAACTACTAATATTCCATCACAATTATATACCACAACTGGTTCAGTCATTCCCCAATTGATGGGAAACCCCTCAGCTTCCAATTTTTTGCCAC